TGACCACTTTACTCAAGAAGCCATGTCCTTAAAACATGAATTTAATCCATATGTCAAGAGATAGAAGTTTGGTCTGTCCACAGTCACAGACCCAGGACTATACCCCAACCCTTGGGCATCTTCTAGAATCAGTCTTACAGAAGCCACCTGAAATATGACCATAAACACTGTGCCAAATCACCACACCTTAGAAGCCTATGGTATGTTGAACATGGAGACATTTGCTCTTCCTCCCTCACAACTCTGACACATAATTACTTAGAATGAGTCCTATAACACATTGATTTTTTTTGTTGTTGTTGCTATGCAAAAAAATCACTGGAATAACCATCCTGTAAATCTGCTCTGAATTTGAGACTGCTTAAGGCTCCAACAAGGAAATAATAAATTGACATCCTACAAACCTTGAGTCGTGCCCCTTCCTGTCTGTTTCACGCTATAGGCAGGTGTCTGAGTAGAAAGTTAGACAACCTTGGCAGACAGAATTTCCTGACTGTCTTCCTCCTGTCTGCCAGCTAGGTCCAGGTCACTCTGCAAGTAGATGTGGGGAACAGCTGGTGTCTGTAAAGATGAACAGTGAAGGAAGAATAGAGGCAGCAGACAGACATTGTGCTGGGCCAAGGAACTGGGAGGTCCCCGCCCTGGGGACCAGGAATAGGCTTAGGCGGAGAGCTGGCAAGAAGCAAGTCTGGGAAAAGGTGCTGAGAGCTTAACCTTGGCCTGCAGTTCATACCAATAACTCAATTCCAGGAGGTCTACGAAGCAAGAAGCTCATCTCCTAGAAGGGCAAGATTTTTGGGCAAGACATAACCCTATTACAACAAGACTTTCAAAGAGGTTGGAGGCTAATGCTTTGTGGCTTAATTCTCTAGATTTGCATCTCAGCTCCACTGTGTACTAGCTGAGTGGACTTAACCCTTAGCGAGTTTTATCATCTGTAAAATACAGATAAAAAGCCATTCCCTACAACAGAGCTATTGTGCTGATGAGATAAAATGATATGTAAAAGCAGTTAACACTATGCTTGGCAAAGTGTAAGTTCTCAATAAACACAGCTATTATGATTGCTTGGTGTTAGGAAATCCTAACCCATACCCACAGCTATCACTTTATACAAATGATTTCACCTCTCTGAACCTCAATTTTCTAGCTCATTAGATTTTACTGAAGTCTAAATGAGACAGTACACACAGAGATTCCATAGCCTCATGGTAAGTAGTCAATTAATGGACTTCTTAGAGTGCAGTAGTGTGATTGAAGCTTATCTCCCTTTTGGATGTGTTTCTGAGTGCCAGGCTCAGAGGTAGAGAATTTCCAATGAGATGGAACTGAGGCAAAGGAAAAAATGGGAATTAATAGGTCCAACAGTTATGGTCAGGGGACTGAGAAAAAGAAAACTTCTCTCAGGGGAAAATTCTCCTAACAGGCTTCTTACTGTGGAAACTGGACACTGAAACTAGAACTTTCTTTTGTACTGTGACCAATGTGGGTATCTCTTGTGTGGGCTTCTTAGGAAATCAGGGGCGACTGGCAAGGTTGGAGTCTCCTTTATCATTACTAAATCTTTGCTACCCGAAAAGCTGGTCTTCTCTTTGCCATGAGAATCAAGAGGCAGAGAATTCCACATCCAACTTTCCAGGTTGGGCTCACAATGAAATTTCTCCAGGTAACTCTGGAGGGCTATACCAAGGACAAAGCCCTATTCATAGGTATTTTTCCTCTTCTGAGACTCAGCCCTGCATAGGGCAAGACTTAGCAGGACTTATAGGTCTGACATATCTAGATTCAAATTGGTTTTACTATTCAGTACCCACATGACCTTGAGCAAGTCTTGAAAGTGCTCTTAGCCCACAATCGTTCATTGGCAACATGAGAGAATATTAACCTGTCAGAGTTGACATGGGGATTCAAGGAGATAGAAGAGGCCTGGTGTCTGAAAGAGAGCCTGCACAGGTGTTAGTTCACTTTTCCCTGCCTGTCTTTTGCTATAAACCAGTCTGCTGCAATGAGTACCTAGAGCAAAGATTTTACGGTTTGCAGTTTACTTAGAAGTTGCGCTGGGAAATTTAAATTGTATGGAGTGTGGTTTTCATTTGAGACATCTCTTTTCTCCAACAGTTAGACTTCCAGGAATTCAAATTTGAAAATATACAAACACCTGTGGGTAACAGAAGCAACTATGCCAAAATCATCCCTGGCACGGAGAGTCTGTAAGTCTGTCCAATCCTGACTTCACATGCTGCCTACTTCTGCCCCAACCATGTGTATCTTTAACAGGGAATTGCCTGCTCCTTCAGGTCTCAGTGTTCATGTCACTCCCTCTGGATAGGGGCACTTCCTCTGATCAGTACACTGTTCCCCAAAGTCCTGGATCTCTTCACCACCTTTCCTGCAAAGGTGACTGAATGGATAGTTGCAAAGCTCACCACGAACATCAGGATCCCTAACAGATGACAAATCTCACACAGCAGGAGCTGTAGCTGTCTGAGCTCACCACACATGTACAGCTTGGCCCAGCACTGGGAAAACAGAGATGCCCAGGGGACATTCATCTCACCAAAGGAAGGACATCTAGTCATCTGCATTCTGGTACCATAGCTAACACGAAGAACAATGACAGGAAGTGGAAGATAATAACCTTCTATATAACAAACTCAAACTTCATTGATAATATGAGTGGACAAGAAAAAAAGAGAGAAAAGAAACACAATCAGAAAGCAAAGAAGCAGTCATGGGGGTCGGGTAGGACTTAACTCTGGCATTGGAGTCTGTAAGTAATACAACTGAGCCCCATTCAGGACCAGGGTCAAAATGATGATTGGTGTTCTATATGCAATGGAACCAGTTTCTATAATAATCTAAGATCTGCACCTGAGCCTTGGCCTTATGACTTCATTTCCCTGCCATGCACTCTGTAAAAAGAGTGACACATTTAAGGACAACACCGTCCTCCTCAAGTGCTTACAGCTTTTATTACATAAGTTACTGTAGGCAGGAAAATTATGTTAATCAGAGCTGTACTTTGTCCAACTGGTGGTATAAGACAAGCTCATAATTCTACAGAAACTTCTATTTAAAACACAAACTTTACTTTCCATTTATTTTCAAAACAGCCTACTCCAATGAAGTGAAATTGACATTATTATATGATATATTCATTGGAAACAGGCATTAAGAACCCTAAAATGTTTATGCCACTTAGGTCATTTCAGTTTTAAGAATCAATTATACAGGAATAATTATGGCTGTAAAAGATTTATGTGCCAAAATTTCATGAGCACCATTAGGTATAATTTAAGAAACTGAAATAACTCAAAAGTTAAAACAAAAAAGCAAATGGATACCAACATTATTACATATTGCAATCATTTAATAAATAGAAATACAGCAAAAATACAGCTGAGAATTTTGCCATAATATTATATAGTTCTTACATATAATATTTCTTGTGCTAAGTAAACAAAACCAAAGAGATAAAGATCCCAGACAAGATCTATGTCTTCACACTAAGCAAAATATGCAGAAAAAAATATCCCCCCCCCCCGCAAAAAAGCAGAATTTATCTTTGGACTCTAATAGAACAGTGAACTATTTTGGTCTCCTCTCTTTGGAATTTTCTAAGAATATAATATACGTTGTTTCATAATTAGAAAAAAAGAACAATTTATTAATACAATATGAATTTTATTATCTTATGCTTCAGCAGGAAAATGTATGCCTTAAACATTTTACAAAAAAATAATCCTTGAAAACCAAAACTGAAAAAGAGGAGGGGGTGCTTGAAAGTATCATCTACAGAGGACTGACTGACTGCAGAGAGCCTGGGCGTCTGCACTTGAGTGTGGACCAGTAACAGTTGTCCAGCTTGAGTGTGTCACTATTTGTCCCTGCACTCCAGGGGCAGAACATCTTTCTTGAACCAACTCTGTTTAGGCTATCCAAGATCAAGGGACTTGAACTAGACCAAAAACCATGCTCTGCATTCGCCACTGTGCCACTAGCACAAGTGACTCCCCGCTAGGAGATTCCACGTCCCATGAATAAAATGAGCAGAATGGTCAGATCATCACAGAGAGTTCCTTGGCCATGACTATGTCTTTTCTTTTCTTATCTCACAAATGCAGTTCCTCATTCTTGAATATGAGATATTAGAACAAATCATCTTAGTTATAGCAGGTAAATATAAACATAGAAAAAGCTTCTGATTAACTCTATCACAAAACTCTTCTCAACTTGGATTTTCCACCACTTTCTCAGCACTTGACGTGTGCCCCAGATTTAGTTCCTAGCCCCACTGAGGAGGAAAATGGAGGTGGCCTTTTTCCCCTATGAATGATTGACAAGCACCCCACTCCAGTGTTCTGGATTTACTACAAACAGCTAAGTCACTCTTTTGTGCATCCTAAGGCCAAAGCAAGAAAATCACAACTAACCCCTTCTCCCTGTGCTTCCAATCCTACAGATGGAAAAATAAAATAGAAGAAAAAATGCCCAAAGGCCATAGGTGGTGTTTTGGCTGGAAATGCCCTACTTTCTCTCTCCTCCTATACCTCAGCCATATTCCCTAAATGCATGTTCTATGACTTTACATGCTAGTATTCTGCCCCAAACACTTTTTTTCCTGGCTGCTTCATTGCCTCTTCCCCCAATCCCTTAATTTTTCATTGCCAGTGGCTCTTAAGTCCTTCTCTGATGCCTTACCCGGACCCTCACAGCACTAGGTTCTCCCTTTTAAAAGTGCTTTCTCCCCATGCACCTCTTTTTAATCTGCTTCCATATTTGGAAGCTTTAGTGACCACATCAACAAGGACATCCCAGGACCCAGCCCATGATATTAGCTCAACTAGCAAATAAAGGATTGAAACATAATACGAAACAAAGCTTGTAGGCAGCACTAACACAACCAGGACAATAGGTTGTCCAGCATGCGGGAGTGACCATGGCTCCAGCACACCTAAGAGGCGGGCAGAGGCACCTACAAGCGGCTCACACTGGCCTACCTTTTTGGTTTTCACCGTGGAAGTGCAGCAATCCCCACCATCATAGTTGCAGAAGGCTCGATTGTTGATGGCATCACAGTAATTGTCTCCCATAAAGGGCTGTAAAGGAGAAAGGAAATAAGATTGCATCACATTCTAGAGTGAATGGAACCTGTCCTCCATGCTTCATCAAGGCTTTCATGGTTCTGTAGCAGCCTCATCAGCTTCCAGACCTCTACAGTCAACCATCTGGCTTCAAATCCCAGACACTTTTGGGTCAGTTATGATTTTACTATTTTACTATTAAACACTTTTATCAGCCACATTGTTCCCAATTGGGGTATTGCTGTGCTCAGAAAAATACTCTTGGATGCTGAAGGGTGCAAAGCCGTAGGAGAGACCACTTGCATCTTCCTGAAATGGAAGGTTTGCTTTACTTGTAGAAATGATTAGGAAATTTGAGCCCACTTCCTTCACTTTGTCTGGCAATGAGTAATTAAAACACATAATTAATAACAAAATATAGACAAATAAATATGGAAGTGAAATGTAAACTGCCTAACATAAAATATGAGAATTTTTTTAGAATTAGGCTCAATAATCTGTGAATAATAACAGTGGCTTCTCTAACAGAAGAATGCAGATGGATTCATGGTCACATGAATTACATGTTTGTTTACTTTTTCTCCAAACAATACTGGAGATAGGCATTAATATTCTCACTTTACAGATGAAAACTCTGAGACTCAGAGTAAGAGGCAGGCTTGGTCAAAATCACATTGGCAAACAAAGAATACTGATGTAGAATAATTTGGGCTTATGGGATTTTTTTCCACTCGCACATCACTGTTGTAGGATATTCCAGTTTATAATGATTTTTTTCTTCTGTGTTCCTGCAACTTTGTAATGCTCAGAGATGAAGAAAAAATAATAGAGGGAATTATTACAGATCTGAGCAAAGACATGTCTCAGAGGAAATTTCAAGTTTCTTTGACTCCCCTACCACATATGTGTCTCATCCCAGCATTGGGCACAACATATTCTGTGATGTTTATGTCTTCAAAGCAGATGCAAGACTGGGGTCCTAAGAATATGAGCAGTACTGTGTTCACTCTTGTCTCCAAGTTACCTACTTTGTCTTCCAATCACCTATCAATGTTTCTGATTAGAGTGTAGTTGAGATTTCTAATGTCCTGGATGTAACTCTTGGGAAAGGAGATACCATCATTTGTCTGGGACTATTGCATCCCAGCAGATTCCCTGCGGTTCAATTACTTATCTTTCCCTGGCTCACAAGAAGTTCAGCTCCATGTAGCATCCCTGGCTATTGCATCTCTGCTCTAATTTCTCCTTCCTGGTCTTTGTGCCCCAACTCAACAAGCCAGGGTCCATTTTATCACTGTATTTTTAGCATCTAAAACTGATCTTTGCAGGATAGGTAAGTCCTGGGTTCAGCCGTGTGTGCGTGCATGCACAGGTCTGTGAGTTGATGAGTGACTCTTCCCTGTGACTACCACGATGAACATACTACTGTACTCAAACTGAAACAGTGGGCACAAGCCATACACAAAGGATAAGCCTGTCCCTTTACTCTTTTCCTGAGGAGGTTGACTGGGGGCTAACTTCTTTGTACTCTTCCTCATATGGTAGTATGTGAACAAACTGATGAAGTAGACCAATTGTCTCTTCCTTGGACCAAATGCAACTAGCATGGCAAAGGAGCAGCTGAAGAAGAAAGGGAAGAAGAGAAAAAATGAGTTCTTTTCATTTTCTTCTTTTTTTTTTTTTTTGTTTTTTGCTTGTGAAAAAAATCTCTAGTCTCACTTACTAGCCACTCTGACTAATGCCTTTTTCTGTAGCCATAATGGTCCATCCATCTACATATCCATCTCTATCCTATTCATTGATGGCCTACTATGTGTTTCACTATGTTAAGAAAATAAAAAGTCCTTAAGCAAACAGTCACACATCTAATTGGCCAGTTTCTGCTCTGATAAGAGCAAGGACAGAGAATACATGATGCTGTTAGAGGACAGCATTTGATCCAGTCAGGGAGCTCTGACGAAGGGTCCCTGAGGACATGACATTTCAGATGAGATCATAAAGATGAATAGCAGTTCATTAGTAGGGGGTACTTCCGGAGATGGGAAGCAGCACAAATACAGCTCTGCTGTTTAGAAATTTCTCTCCTGTCTGGTATTTCTCTGTTGCTAGTTATATTGAAAAGATGAGCAATTCACCCTTTGAGATTTAGCTCAAAGATTGCCTCTTTAAAATACCTTCTATAAGAGTCCAAAGATGCTCAGTGCTTCTACAGCTTTTTGTACAATGCTTTGGTTATAGTGCCGGTACACTAATTTATACTTCTTTTTTAAATTACTTCTTTATGATACTTTACATTTCTTAGACAGGGAACATGTGCCATCCATGTGCCAATCTATCCTAGATTTTCTAGGAAAACCTCTGGCAATTTGAGCAAAGCTTTACATATGCAGTCAATATTTACTCAGTGAAAAGATGGGCAGAAAAGAATGAATGGGTGAAGGAAGGACTGAAGAACAACAATAAAAAAAAATCACAGATGACTCAATGACTCCAAAAGAGCACAGTTATTATTTCACCTTAATAAAACAAATGAATTCTCAGAACTTAGAATAGTGACTGGCGTTTAATAGCAACTCAGTGAAGCTTTGATGAATAAGTTAGCAAACAGTCACTTTGGACAAAATTTATAACAGAGGGAGCTCCCCACACATCTAGGTTCTTGAGCAATGACTGGATCCTCTCTGGTCTTAGAATTTGTTCTTATTCTAAGCACACTTTCAGCTCTAAATAAGATGCAAACTTTCAGCTCTAAGCTAAAGGAGGAAGGAGAAGATGAGGGATCCCTCCAAGGGCAGAGATGATAAGTATCACTGTCAGGGCTTGCAGCATGACAGGTGAGGGTCTTTTGGCCTCACTGCTGAGTCAAAGGAAAGATCAAATTCTGCTGTCACCCAGGTTGCCCAGACTGCCAATTCAGCAGAATGAGGGCCCAGGTAACTCAAGCTGCCTTTCCCCAAAATGCTAGATTGATCAAAGGCAGTGGAAGAAAGCAACAACCACAAGGCCTTAGCCTTGTCACTATTGGTTGAAGCTTAGAAGAATGCAAGTTCCTAGACTGAAATATTCCCTGAGAAGATGCCACACGGGATCCCTAACCAATGCACATAAAAAAAAAAAAAAAAAAAATTGGCTCAGAGACTGTGTGGTACAAGTCAGGGGATAGCACCTAGGCAGGAGATAAACTAGCACAGGAGCAAAAAGCAGCAGACTAGAAGTCAGGAGACCTGGGCCTATGGTTCCATCCTGTAGGCATCCTGCTTCACAAATTTAGACCAGCTCTTCTCTGGCCCTCATTTTCCAATCTCCACAGCAATCAAATAGAACTACAGCATATTAAAATCTTTCCCAGCTTTGGCATTCTATCCAGTTCTAGAACTGGATTGTCTGGATGGCTGTCTCCCATCTTCAAAATAAAAGATTAGGCTTAGATGATCTAAAGGAGCCCTTGTGGCTCTAATATCCTAAAGTTTCATCCAGTATACATCATTTTTTAGGGTCTGATTTGGTCCCTTTTACCTTCATTTTCCTCAATAGGCTTTGTTGAGAGTGGGAGAGAAATTACAAAGAGTTGACATCCATCTGAAAAGAATTTTTGAGCTTCCTTTTCACTACCTAAAAGCCACTGAGCCATAGTGGTACACAGAAAGGCCTGAGTTCTAAGTAACAGCCTCCCCTGAGAACTCAGCTGTGTCTTGAGAACCTGCACCACCCTTAACACCTTATTAATGATACACAGAACCAGATCACCAGGATTCTGAGTCCAAAGAATGTCTCAACTGTAAAATTGGAGATCTGGGGCCAGAAAGGAGCTTCCCCTTTGGCTCAGTGGTTGAGTTTAAGACATCCATATTACTTCCAGGGTTGAAGAATAAATGAGTAACTTAGATATGGGTCAGAAAAAGCCGATGTGCAAACCACGATCATGGGTAAAATGGAAATTTTAAAAAAAGTCTCAGATGGCTCTGTTGTTTAAGATAATGATGGTTAAATTCTTGCCATATCATGCTTGCTAAATCAATGTGGCCTCTTTCTTTTCCTTTCTTACAGATCCAATATTATACAGGCCACCAGTTTTAGAGACAGGAAAGATTAGTTTGGAATCCCAATTCTGTTACCTAATGAGTACATTTAAAATTTTTTTCTTTTCTTCTTTGCTTCACTTCCATCACTGAAAAATAACAGCATTAGAATGACTTAAAGCTGAGGAGTGTTTCCTGTAACTCACCTCACAGCCTTTGACACAGTGAATCAGAGCAGGAAGAGGGTACCACTTGAGACCAGCAGTGCAGACAACTCTCTGCAAAGAGATGGAGAAAAGGTCAGATGGGTTCGCAGTAGGGAATGAGCCACTTCTTTGTTGGCACCACATCCAACTATCCCACCTCTTCTTAGAAATTTCAAGTACCAACTTCACCCTGGTATTTACATGGACAGCTTGCCCAAGTACTTGCACTAACAAGAACCATACAATCAAAATAATATTTGTATTCAAACTAGGTGTCATGATTCTATATTTCTCTGGCCGGATCAAGGGTTGAGGAGGAGCAGAATTGGGAGATGGAAACAGAATGAGAAAAAAATATCAGAAAATTCTTGGCTGGTCTTGGACCCATTGGTACTGGGGATAAGCTTGGGGGGAAGAAAGATTGTGTGTATGTGTGGCAGGGGGTACATCCATGAGCATACTTAATTGTATGGCTGCAGCTGGAACATGAGGGTGTGGTGTAGGATTTTTCCAAGCAGAAGCTAAAGCTTCATCAAAATTCCTGAACAAACATAAAGGAGCAGATTTTTCAGATGTAATGGATTTGACTCACTGAGGTCAGGGCCTAGCACTCTGTATTTTAAAAGCTAGACCAAGGGCAAGCGAGGAAATAGAGGGGAAGTGGAAATAAGGAGAAGAAGGATATACTATATAAAGGTACCTGATAATCTCATTGAATGTAAGATTAGTAATGTCAGTAAGAATGAAAATGGGGAAGAGCAATTAGAGAAAAAAAGGGAGGGAGAGGGAAGAGGAAGTGCTAAACAACAACTACAAAAAACCAAGATGTGTTGTGTACGTGTACCCTCTCACCAAGTATAAATTTCATGTACTGCAAATATACACCAATAAAAATTTTAAAATCAATGAAACAATAAATTAAAAGGAAGCTAGACTTTTAGTTGATTCTGATGCACACATAGCTTGAGAGCAGGTAGGCTGGAAGATGGATGGACTAACCTTTGGTTTGGAACACCAAAAAGGCAGGAAACCCTTCCTGCTATCACCTTCTGTCACTGCCACAGGGAGCTCCTGACAATTCCCTGAGGTGGCTTAGGGATCCGGGGCATTCTTGTGGAAATTACACAATTCCTTGAGGTTGCTCACATTTTCATAACAAATTTCAGAGAATTTGTTCTTACTCTTTCTTTTTACTGAAATACTTCTTATATCTTGAAGAATTCCTGTTTACCTCTTAAATTCTTGTTCAAGACTTATTTTTTCTGTGTTGTTGTTCTTAACTTGCTCAGACAGAGCTCACAAGTAATATATATATATATATATATATATATATATATACTTACATATATATACTCATTTATAGCTTTCTTAATAATAACTATTAATATGATGGTGAAGTAAAATATAGTGAATGTGTTCATGGTACTAATTACTTTATGCATTATCTTATTTATTTCTTGCCACATACTGTGAGGTGGACATTAATATTGTGTCAGAAAGGAATAGATTCCTCAAGCTCCATGGCCATTAAGTAGAGGAGCCAGGGTTTGAAACAAGTGATTGTTCTAGAAAAGATCTAAGATAGCTCATAATGTAAAATTCTACATGACAGCACATTTTTAAGTTGGAGAAAGAAGGAAGGTCAACAAAACTTGAAAGATAAACCATCAGGAATGAAGCTACCATAAAAATCATGGGAGTCCCCTTTCCTATTCACCATAGATGCCTTATCTTTCATAATGGACTGCAATTTTTTTCTTAGAAAGTGAAATAAAATATCACAAACTTGAATGTTCAGTGAAAGATAACAGTGTGGAGACAAGCCGTGGAAATCTATATGGTCAGGGACTGCTCTCCCGGATGAGTGCCTGCCAATTAATTTTAATTAAGAAATGAACTGTCATATGGGCAAGAATGTGGGAACTCTCTGACCAGCTCATTTTCTCCCTGAGGGCAGAGTTATAATGTGGAATTCAAAGTGTAATTAAGTTTCTTGGGAAGACTTGTCAAAGAAAATCACATGACACCAGGCCAGGATGGAGCTGGGTGCATTTCCTTCTGCTCCACATCAACTCTGCTTCATATGTTGGGTCTTCCATGCTGGAATGGTGCCTGATACACAGAGGGGCATAATACATATTGTTTTACAAAGGAATGGGCCCATATCAGCATAGAGATCATTCTACCAAAGTAGAGTGATTCTTACCAACAAGTAAAGATGTTTCTTTGCTTGTCTTCTCCCTAATAGAGTGGCAGAAGTGCTTACAATGCCAGGAATAGTGTCTAGTTTAGAGGGTCACCATGGTGCAGACTGAACTCAATTAAAGATCTTGGGCCAACAGCTTACCTTGCAGATCTATCAATCTACCTCACAATGTGACACTTACTGTCTAGTCCCCCACTGTCTATATTGAAACTGTCTACCCTCTCCCAATATACGCACAGGTGATCTATGTGAAAGGCCATAGGATTTGAGGCAGGACAGATGTGGTTACAATGCTAATTTGAAATTCCTTTCTAAATATCAACTATGATGCTTATGAAGTGGCACTGAAAATGTCACATCCTTATTAAGAGGATGCATTGAGATAAATGGATCTGGAAACATTTTTGGAGCTATTTCTTAAGTTTCTTGAGGATAGATACTGGGTTTAAGCCTTCTTTGTGTTTCTCCAGGGTTGCACATGAAACACAGTGAATAAATGCATAGGAAGGAAGGTGAGTTCCTCAATATTCCTGCTTTTCCACTGTCCAGCCATGGGGCCAGCAAGGACACGATCACCTGCTTTAATCCTCTGAAAAACTTAAACCAGATCTCTTTTCTGTCTGTTCTCAAACCACATTCAGAAATGTTGGAGAGCATTTGGTAAAGTTTCAAGAAGTAGAAACAGCAGGGGTAGGATTCACCAGAGACTCAATGCCCATCCCTCCCCATGTTTATTTGAGAGTTAATTTAATCCATCTGCTGGAGGGTCTTGGTGTAGTTGCATGAGTTTCTGTCAGTTGAGGTTTACCTGACGTGAATTCAGAAAAAGGACTTTTATACTATCTGCATAAGCCTATTTATCTTTCCAGGGCTTTTGGATTTTCCACTATTTCTCAGGTCTACATGCCCCACCTGTCTTACTACAGGGCCCCTCTGTGTGCTAGAGAAATTCAGAAAGGGGACAGGCTGTGGGAACTGAAGGAAAGGCTAGGCTGTTTGGACCACAAGTTGAGAGATCTCTGATGGGGCACCTCAAATGCCAGCCTTGTTCTTCCTAATGCCAGTGAGACCCATAGCTCAAGCAAAGCCCTCCAGAGTAGGTTTTGTAAGACTTTTTCATTTCCTGCCCCAGTCCTTATGAAGAATGAACTGTCTTTTCTTCCTGGCTGCAAATGCCATTTTTGCAACATCATCAGCACCACTATCGTTGGTACCACTTATATCGATACCGCCTATACCACCAGAGATACTAACATCACCACTACTACCTCTTCCTCCTGTATCTTCATCCTCATAATATCGTCACATCATCACCATCACCACCACCACCAGGATCATCACAATCATCGTCACCAAAGCATAAGACTGTCATTACTTCCATCAACACCAACACCAACACCGTCATCATGATCTTCAAAGTCACCACCAGGAATCCTGCACTAGATGACTATTATGCTCAGAAGTTTCCCCACATTAATGACTTACTGTAACTATAGGACAGATATTATTTTAGACTCCGGATTGCACGAGAGGAAACTGAGGACTGAGATGTTAACCTTCACACACAGGCCGTGAAGTTGGCAATTAATCCTATAGCTCTGTGGTTTCAAAGTCTATGCTTTGAACACCACATTCTCCTTCAAAGTCCCATAGCCTCTAAAGCTGTAATTACAAAGTAACTTCCTCTTCTGATCAGAGAGAAGGCCAAAGTTCAGAAAGACGCTGAGACAAATGTAGGAGAGGCAGAGTATCTAAAAGATGAGATCCAGAGAAAACATGCTTCTCTCAGTGCCAAGGATGTGTGGCAAGCCATCTTAAGATGACCTCCTCAACCTGAGGACTACATCTGACCTCCTCCTGAATATCTCCTCAGAGAAGCTCTACTTTTCCCCTGATTTATAGGACCCACCAGGAGTGAATTGTATTACTTAGTATCATTATTTATGCTTTTTGTTATCAGTTTCTAACTTTCTTTTGAATTTCTTAAAAGCCTCAACACTTTCGTCCTGTCTTTTTAGTGTTTAAAGAATGACTTCTATTTGGAAATCATAATCAATGTTTATTTAATGTATAAAAGAAAAGCCAAGCCTATGATCAGATGAGTGAATGAATGAGGGGATGAGAAATCAGTACACTGTGACCACCTCTCTTCTGTGGATATCCTCTGCAGGACACAAGGTATCTCCATTTACTATATCAGAGACACTGACTTATTAGTCACCAGAGTCACTAGAGCCATTCCACCTCTCTTCTCCAGTCTGTGAGCAGTTTCCTACTATGCTGCTTTCTATTCAATGCATAAAGTCTGGACCTTGTCTTCACATATTACATAGGTTTATTTCCCAAAGTGTGCAAGATATTTTCCTTACAGGATGGAGTTAGAGAATTAAAAAATTTAACCAAATTACTTGCGTTGGACAGTTACAATCTCGCTAAGCCTTAGTTCCATCTGTAAAAGGATGATAGTGCTCACTTCAGTGAGTGTGACAGAGGCAAAATGAGGTGACATATGTGGAAGTGGCCCAGCAAACATGGCCTTTATCTTAACAGTAAATAGAAATCTCTCTTTCCCTTCTTAACCTCGTCCTTCTCCTCTGTTTTGTTTCTCTCTCCGTCTCTTTGCTCCTCCCATTCTTTTTCCAGAGGCATTATAAAAGCTAAGGATTCAGCTACCTAAAGAAATCATATGCTTCTGAGCATGACACCTGTATCTTATCTTGTTAAACTCTCCTGACATCCCTGAATAAAGGGCCACGCAGGAATAGATTGGAATCACTCCCTAGGAGCTGATGAGGGAGGACTCCCTAACACCCCAGAAAATGCCAAACAGCCAAGCTGGTAGAGCCTATCTCATCCAAAGGTTGCAATCCAGGAGTTCTCAGATATACAATCCACAGAAGTATTTGCTTTGGCATATAAGTGCTTGAAAAGGTCAAAAATTGTTACCAAATTAAAAGAGAATCCAATTTTTAAAGCTCCAGATTTATTGTACTTAAGAAACAAATGGAAAACATGGTTATACTAGACCCACATTTTCACAGAGTTTCCCATGGCTGTATCTTCCCACTGTGGAAAAAGCCAGTAAAACAAAGATGTTTTCATGGTTCCCCAGTCTCCACTATTCCCTCTCGTCTCTCCAGCACTAAGGTAAAAAGGCATTTGTGTTTATCATGGAATACACAGCTTTTTGTTTATTCAGTTGGAGGAAGAGTTTTCTGTCTTTGCATCTCTTTCAAAGTACAAGGCTGGGGAGGAGGTTTAAGAAGGTGATGATTTTAGAAAAAGAACTAAGAGTTAATTTTTTTCTTTATAGAAGTTAAAAACATGCTTTTGAAACAGGTTCATGAAACATATACTTTGTGATTCTCATTTTATGAAGTTCAAAAGTAAACCAGACCTATTTATAGAGGTAGAGAGCAAAATCCCTGTTCCCTTGGTGGTGGAGGTATTGCTTGAGAGCAAAAGGGGACGATTCTATGGTCAGGTGGAAAGTGTCAAATCCTGACACAGGTAGTAGTTTCATGGATGTACCCAACCATAAGAATTCATCAAGTCTTATGCTTTACAGGGGCATGTGATTTGGATCTCAAGGAAAAGAGCAGAACTTCTATATCTACAAAGTTTTCGTTCTAAAACTAGGTAGTATGTATGTGAGTGTTCATTATATTTTTGACAGTTTTTTGTGACTTTCAGAAATGCTGATAGTGAACAACATGATTGTTAACATTAATAATATGCCTAAATATTCAGAAGTGTAGAGTACTATACTGGATGAGTTAACCTCAGCCAGCCCACCCTCCTGGTTCTGCAGGTGTCTCACACAGTGACCTCTGACCTAGATCCAGCTCTCATGGAAAAAATGGCCTAGAGAAGTGGTGGGAATTTGCTCCAGGACACCCAGCATGAAGGACCAAAACTTTAGTCTCCTGACCCAGCAGGTATAAATATTTATTCAGCAACTATTGTATACTGGGCACTGAGGGAGTCTCCTCAGGATATTAAATTATGACCACGGTCCTGCCCGCAAACCTTGCTGTCCTTGTACAATAATAAGGAGCGTCATTCATCTATGTATTGAGAGTTATTCATCTGTGTGACACTGTATATGGTAGTACATTCAAGGGCTCAAAAAAGTCTGCCACGTATAAATGGAAGTGATGATCTGCAGCCAGCTTCCACAGGCTCAAGATGCCATTAGAACCTGTATCTCCCCAACTTTCTGTTCAGCAATGGGCACTAGGCAGTGCCTTGACTTTTGATATGGTGGGAATATTTACACTGCAGCAATTGGCAAATGCTACAAATTAGAGAAGTGTGTGTGTGTGTGTGTGTGTGTGTGTGTGAAGAGATAATTTTAAAACACTTGCCAGTACAAAGTTGGTAAACAATCTGTAAATACCTTGCTGTTGTGATTATTATTCTAAACCCACAGGATTTGCAAGACTGAAGTAAATTGAGTCATTGGGCAGATCCAAGTCCTTCTTCAGCTCCTCTTCAGCCATGGGACTCCCATCTCTGAAAGTTTTATTTCCTCTACTAGAAACACAAGAAGCCTAATGCCCATCTAGTTCATAGCAGTGTGTGTGTGGGGGGGTGAATGTGCGATTATGTGTGCATGTGCAGGTGCCTTTGTGTGTGTGTGGTGGGGTGCATGGGGTAAATCTACTCCCTGGCCCTGGGGCTAATCCCAGCAGGTGTGTCCTTGGTCAGTTCTGGCCTGTCACTCTCTTACCCTGGGGCCAAGAGGTTGGGAGTTGGAGCAGAGCCTCTTGCATACCATCCCTCTCTCACTGTTGTGTGGGGCTGTCCCTCAAGAGGCCCAGCAGTTAGTCTTGGCCTCCCTGGGGCCGGAAATGCCAGTACTGCAGCTCTATTTGTGCAGCTCAGTGCCGAGGGCAAGGGTGCAGCCCGGACCAGTTTCTCTGCCTTCTTCCTGGAAATCATCAATCTATGCCCTTCGCCCTCCTCCCTTTTTCTACATTTTTTTCCTCCTGGATAATGAGGCCTCCAGAGACTGGTGGAGGTCTGAACCTCGTTATGGCTCTCTAGGTAGGCCGGCATCAATAAAGGCCGGCAGACCAGGGAGCTGGGTGGGGGCTGGGGTAGGCAGGCAGCGGGTAGGCGACTGTGGGGGGGAGGGCTTGCAGGCTTTCATATCCTTGGATTTACTTCACAGTGAATAACTGAATGCTTTAGTGCCAGGATTCACTGAGGGGAGGGCTGAAATTTACTCAGGAGGTAGGAAAGGCCTCAAATGGGAGCTCAGCCAGGCCAGGAAGACCTTGACTCTGAGGTGAAAGGAGGGTCTCATGCTTTGGGATAAAAGGAGGTAGAATGGATGCAGAGGGGTGGCCGGGGCCATTGATCCTGAGTCCTGGCTAGTAGGTGGTCAGCAGGTCTAGCTGTCCTTCCCCTGTGATTCTGTTTCTCAATCTGTGCAGCTAGGGGCCTGGACTTTGTGATCTCCAGGAGCCTTGTGAGTCTGACACACGTAATCTGGGCACGCTCCTGGGTGTTTAAGCACGCCTGTGCATATCAGGATGCTCTCGGGTATCCATGTGGGGATTCTGGCTTAGAAATGGGGAAAGACACTCTGAGGTGGAGGAAACAGATAAAAGGGCCTGAGGCTAAGGAAAAGGGCTGTCCTGTGTTTGTGCAGAGAGAGAAAGAGATGTCGACAGAGAGAAAAAGAGACACGGAATGGAGATGGAGGGAGAAGAGCTTGCAGGGGAAGAAGCAGAACCAGGTGAATAAGATACGATAGGCAAGAGAGAGAAACTGACAAAGTAGAGGCAAAATAAAAGTAAATGAGGCTGGAGAGACAAAGACAGAGACTGGAAGGAGAGAGCAGCAGAAGAAGAGGAAAAGGAGAAAGAATGGAGGGGACTCAAAAGCTGGGGTATGCTGGAAGGGGTGGGGTCTGGTCAGGTCCACATGCTAAGAATGCTGAGTAAGCCCTCAAACCCATGCCCTCAGCTCATCTGAGGAAACTGTATACCCCCTATCAGGTTCTGTCCAGCTATCCGGAACTCAATCTACAGCAGGCTGGCAGATAGCAGCTCCCAGCAGCCAGGCAGAAAGGTTGGTGGAGACCCAGCTGGACAGTGCCTGTCCCCTGTGCTGCCACCACCTTCCCTGCATCTCCAGAGTGAGGTGCCAATACCCAGCTCACTGGGAGACTTGAGAATGTGCTGCCCTGGAGGACAACTCAGGGAGCCATATCCAATCAGGGTTGTCCAGCTGATTAGGCCACACAAGGGTAAGTGGGAATGATCAACCTCAGAGTCAAACTGAATATGTGAAAAATTTGGTGGAAGGTCCATTGTCATGAGGCCACACCTCAGTGTAGCTCTGAGCCCTTTCTCTAGGCCCATCACACTTCTGCAAATGCAGGGTCTATGTGGGCCAACCATGACTCCTCTTTCCCACCCCTGCTTGAGTTTTAAATATCATTTGTATGCAAAGTGCCAGCCATATGAACACATGACGTACTCTGTAAACAACAGGTGTGATTGTGTCCTGAACATCACATCCTCATTGCTTTCCACCAAGACAGGTAAAGTACAAGAATGAAACCAGAGATGGAGATGACTGTAGTGTACATACACATCTAGACTGAAGCACCAGAGAAACTAAAGAGCACTGTCCTTATGACTATGGTTTTGACAGGCAGCTACTAGGATGCAATCTCATTCTTCGCTCTCTACCTAAGTGCTCTTGGTGCCTCATTTCCCTTCCTGTAAACCAAAGACCTGGGGACCCTTTTTACCAGGCCAACATCAGCACTCCAGAGTACAATAAATGGGATGCGCTTAGTGTGGGGCCTGAGGAGAAGCATTAAAGAAGGTATTCATCATATTCACTATGAAATGCAACAATGTGGGCACAGGGATGAACTCGGGCTCAGCAATGGCATTTCCCTCTCCCTAAGCCACAGGGCATAGCCCTGGCCACTCACCTGCACTCGTGTCGGGTTCAGCCAGTGAGGGATGTCACGCACGGTCATGTTTGTTGGCAGGATGATGGACTCACTGTTGTGGTCCAGGCACGAGGTGGCGCACTCTGCCCCTGAGGGAAGCAAAGAGCAAGTTGGTGGCTTGGGCCCTCTCTGATGCCCACAAGCTGATCTGCTGCTGTCCCCTGGTCCCCAGTGAACTTGTTTATCCTATCCTCAGGAAGTAGAAAAGGGTGAGCTCACTTGGAAAAGCCATCCCTGGTCTCCCTGACTCCACTCCCCTGTCTCCAGTAGAGCTGGCAGCTGCCACCACCATCACTGGCCCTGATTCTGGTTTGTTCATGTTTCTGTTCATTTAAAAATGTCCTCAACACTCCACATATCCATGATCAATCCACTTTCTTTGACTTTCCTTAGGTGGTCAACCTCCTCTCCACTCACCATCTCCACAGCCAAGGGTAAGATGTGGATAAACTCCACCTGGATGTCTATGAGTCCTACGCTCCCCCACCTCTGTGCTTCTGCATCTGTTCACTTGGTCTCTGGAAACATCCACCTGCCTTCCCAAGACTAAATCTGATCACTCCTTCAAGACCTGCTGCAACTGCGCAGAGACCTTGGCCCAGATGTCAGCATCTGGCTGGGAGCTCTCCCTCCCATGAAAGCCTGTTGCACTGGATGTGCCTCCCCTTATCTGCTGGGCACCGAGGAGTTTCAGTGGTGCCTTCCCACCTCCTGCCTCCTCTACACAGTTAGTGTTGTGCTAGAAGAGTGTGAATGTTCATAACCATGTGAGCCTAGCCCAGAGCCTGACGCCCAGGGAAAGCTCAGCCCAGTGATTGATGTCAGCATAAACATAACACCAGCTTCTTTCTTCTACATCTCCATGCTTCTCTTTCCTTTGAGCTTTTATCCCTGTCCTCTCCTGTGCCTTCCAGACCTTCCTTTAACTAGCATATTGCTAAGCACCCTCCATGCCTCAGTCCATCTGTCACTTGCTCAGAAAAGACCAGCCCCTCACAGGTACCCATCAAAGCCACCGTCACTTTGTCAATTCCCATTTGTTGAATGAGTACTAGACCCATGGAAGTCTTCCTTGCTGGACTGCAATGTGTGAGGTGAGCACTGTCTTGCTCCTCCTTCCAAGCCCTAATGCTCTGCACAGGAGGCATTCCAAAGGTGAAACTGGTGAAAAGAGACAATGCACAAATGAGTGCCTCAATGTCTGAGGAAGTGAGAGAATGAATGGATGGGTGGATGACAAACAGGCATTTAGACCTCTTATGAAGGAGTGAGTGTGCAAATGGCTGCTCAAATAAGCAGAGGAGGATGGATGCAATGGAGAAAGGAGTGAAAATGCATCAGGTGATGAGTGAAGGAAGGGTGGGTGATTAATAGGGGTGAGTTTGCACACTGAAGGCTCAGGAACCTGGGAGAAGGCAGCCGACTCTCAGGCTGTATGCTTTGGGGTTCAGCAACCTGGCTCATTCATTCTCCATCCTGACTCCACCCATTCTGGGCTGTCCTAGAAACAAAACCCATTCTATGGGATGTCCCCTCAACTCCAAAGAGGGACTCATTCATGTGGATAGGAAACCTCCCTGTGAGATTCTGGCTAGGCCCTGAGGAGGTCATTCCTCTGCACAGAGCAAACTACCTCTGAACAGTGCCTCCCCTTATCTGCTGGGCACCTCTTTTTAAAGCAATTCTTTTTAAAAATAGCTTATATCTTAGCCATTCTAAATACCCCCTCCAGATACATCTCTAACGTGTGAACATATGCACACACACACGTGTGCATCACATAGCATATGTAAGGAGGGATCTAAATAGTCACTTAATATTCAGATTTTCACAAGTTAAATACAGTAAAAAATGCATTGCCATTGATCCTCTACAACATGCTTCCTCACCCTTTGAACACATATCCCATTGTTCTTGCTACTCTTCTAGAAGTCTTTCTTCACACACAGGCATATGAGCCTACATGTGTGTGCAGTCTATTCAGACATTTTGGTTGTCATGCTGACCTCTTCCTCAGTCTAAGAGATGCATAAGTTCTAAGGCGGGGGGGGGGGGCACTGAAAGTGGGGTGACCAGTCCAGCACAATGTTTAGAACACCTGCACTTGACATCCAGGAACAGAGGGGCCAAAATAGAGACTACCTCTGGCCTTGCTGGGTGATTTCCCTAGGTCACTTCAGGTCCCTGCAAATCTAGCCCTGTGAGGCAGGTATCACTGCATCCATTTCACAGGCCATGCAGCCAAAGGACCCAGAGGTCAAGGTGATAAAAACAGGGAACAAAGAGGTATGACTTAACACCCACAGCTCATCTCCTGACATCAGGCCCAGCAAGGGACAAGGTTGGTCACACAGACAGAGGAGACAGGAGGCAGCAGTGAAAAAGAAATGGAGGGGCTGAGGATTTAGCTCAGCGGCATAAGTGCCTGCCTTGTAAGCAGGCAGTTGTGAGTTTGATCCCTGGTACCGATAAAAAGGAAAAAGACAAAAAAAAAAAAAAAAAAAAAAGGTAAAACATAGAAACAATGTTATCTCTGGTTTTGTCAACTGACAAGATCAGTTCTAAAGGAGATTTTAGGCTGCAAAGGTAAGACAAGTGAAGATAATTTTTTTTTTTTTTTGAAAATATATGATGTAGTTTCTGAGTAATAGACAAGGATTCTCTATGCTGAGTGCAAGGGTTAAAAAGGAAAACTGGTCCAGGCAGGAGGCACTGGCTGTCTGTCCTCTGCAGCAGTTGGTTCTCTCCCTCTCTCTCCCCTCTCTCTCTGGACTCCCCTCCCCCACACCTGAGCTCTTGGGCCTCAGGACTAGGCTGCTGTGTTGTGATATATGAGCCATAATTGGCATCATTACAGAGTGGTGATCTCACCAGGCCCCTGCCTCTCCTTCCCCAGAGGCACCGGGAGGGTGTCAGCCAGTGGCAACAACTGCGACCGACCTTTTGCGGGCTCACAACTGCCACACAAGCTTTCCCAGACTGCTTGTGGAGGCACCAGAGAGAGGAGCCCTCCAGCTTCCAGCCCCAGCATCCCCCTCCCCTGCACACACCTTCCCCAGTTACAAAGCCTCAGGTCACACACCTCTCCAAGGCGAAGCAGTCTCCGCAGGGAAAAGCTCAGCCTTGCAGCCCACCAGGGTCTTTGGAGTGAGCCAAAAAGTGTGTGTATATGTGTGCGTGCGTGCGTGCGTGCGTGCGTGTGTGTGTGTGTGTGTGTGTGTGAAATCTGCATTCCCTCTTTATTTCTCTATCACCCTCAGTCCCTCTGTGTTCCTTTTTTCTCACTCTGCTGTTCCCACATAAATCTCCATCACCCACCACGGATTACCACATGGGCTATCCAGGTTACCCTGGGAGCATGAGATTGTGGGGAACAGAGGGAGACTCAGATTCCAATATGATGCAGATTTCCTTACTTTTCTGCTTTGACCTTGGAAAAACTCAGCAAGTAAAGGAATTCGACCCTTATGCACACCCGTTCCACTATCTCTAGGCTATTCTGAAGTAAAGAGCTGGGCATTGGTGTTCCTGTGTATGTGCTGTGACAGGTGAATGCAACAGATGCAGGAAATGGCCATGAGATGCATCTGTAGAAATGTGTGCAGATGCTTGGTCTACCTCTGAGTATCCTCTGTGTGTCTGATGTATTTTGGGGCAGGTGTTTGTGTTCCTGAGCTATGTGTACTTATGGTGTGTGTATCCTTGTGTCACATGTAGGTTTCTATGCTACCTATGTGAGTATGTGTATGTAGGGGGTGATGCAGTTGTGTGGCAAGAATTTGACATGTAGGGTTTAAGCATAAGCTTACTGTGTGATATATGTGTTTGATGTTTTCTGGGATAATGAAGCATTTCTGCATGAGATATATATTTGCTTACACATATGTGAATGTATTTGTGTCAGTATGAACAGACAGTAAATTTGTTTCTATAGTGTGTGTGTGTATATATATATATATATATATATATATATATATATATATAACTTAATCAGAATTTTTCTCACAGGGCTGTTCAATGCCACTTGTAAGTGTGCCTGAATCTTGTGTCTTCTGATTGAGTTGGAAATAGGAACCCCATCACAGACATATGTGATCAGAGCCAGCCATGAATGATGTTGATAAGAAAATCGTGGCTTTGGGATGGAGCCACCATTGTTACCATGGCGATACCTGTTGCCCCAAACTTCTGGAATATCTCTATTCATTTCTCTTTTGCCTCTCTATAGCCCTCCTCATTGGGTTTACTTGAGTTGGTGGCTCTGTTAGATCTCAAAGCTCATTTTGATCACAAGAGAGACAACTTGTGTGCTTTGGTGTTCTCAGAATTTTGCAAGAGCACAAACCTCAGACTTAATGCAGGAGTCTTGATTTCTACTCCAAGTCTGGGTGAAGGTCTCATGCTACTAAAGTTTATATAGAGCTCCATCTTCCAACAGAGGTGGTCATTCCCCTCCACTCTCCCACCTCAGGCTTTTCTGCTGGACCTGTAGTGGCAGCACTTGGTATGTAAAGTAAGAACATGTTGGCCCTGTGTGCACACATAACCTGCACCAGACAGCCCTAGCAATTACCCATAAATCACACTGGGCATGAGAAAGGATGTTCGATTCCTTGGGCTTTTCATCATGGTCAATTAGAGAATCAGCTCAAGAGGTCAGCATCACTACCCTTAAATGAGGTCAGGCCCCATGCACTCCAAGTTCCCCAGAAAGCCGTGCAGCTGATGACTAATACATCCCTTTCCAGATGCCTCATTTAAACCAGACAAGTACCTGGCATCAGATCCCAGGTTGTCACTCCTCACTGTCTGCATTTCTTACACAGGCCTATCGCTGCACCAACAGGATTTGGAAAATGCAATTTGTTCTCCTCTGGAGGGAGCTGAGAGGTCATGAAGAGGAGTGGAATGGGACAGGTCTTATGATGGGGCTGCTGCATATTCCATGACTCCTTTGAGTTTGAACTGCCTCATGTGTTAAAGATTATTGAGAAGGGAGGAAGTAATATCCTTCAAGTGTTTGTTGCAGATCTGACTCATAGGAGGTCCTCATGAATGCTGAGTTTGATGCAAATTTTACAATTAATAATAAGACCAGCTAGACTGGATCTTTAGTTTCCCTAAACAGAAGGTTCCCTTTCACATCTCCTCTTCCTTAGCCACGTGGCTTCTTTTTCTGACATGGAATTTCTAGCTGACAAGCTTTTCAAAGTCACTGGGTAAATGTCCCTTCCTCTGAGAGCCCCCCATGTCCCCTCAGCCTCTGGCAGCTTTTCCTCACAGTTTTGCCAGTGCCTCACGTCCGACTCCCTCTCTGGGAAGACAGGATATAGCCTCCTTTCTCTGTTTCCCTCCTACCTATGCAGCACCTCACATGACAGGCACTCAATGCCCCCCTGAGCAGCAGCCTTGAATTCCAGGGATGACAAGAGCTTCCCATTGCTCCCCACAAGGCCCCTCCTACCTATGGCGTAGCCGTCTGGGCACTGTAGTTTAAGGTTGCTGTTGAGCTGGTTTGGGACTGAGCACTGGCCTTGCATCTCCTGGCAGACGTGGAAGGAGCCACTCCAGGTGCCATCTTTCCGGCAGAGGATAATGTTGCTTCCGTGACCCTGAACACCACAGAAACACAGTGAGGACCAAGGCTACCCACAGGACAAGCCTCTCAGAATGAAGAAGGATCAATTCTTCATGTCTCCACAGGTCAGAAAGGGGTTCCAAGATGATTTCTTACCAAAGGCTAACAGTCATCCTGAGACAGAGGTTGTTAGTATCTCCATTTTATAGATGGAAAAACTAAGGACTCAGAATAGGAAAAAAAAGTGTTACAGGCTTTTATACAGGCTATCTCTCAGGTTTCCTAAATCCTAGCTCAGTGATCTCTCAGAAAATGTGTTTATTATTGTTGTTACCCATCAGCAATACAGTTGACCACCTACACACCTAGTAAAACTGTGTGTCCTGGGGGCAATTAATAAAGACACAGGCATACACCATAGCTTGTCTCCTCTTAACTAATAAGAAAGCATCTTGTGTCAGGGCTGTGCCTTGCATTAACTAGGTAACCTGAGCTGAGCTGAGAAGCTTTCTCTTCCAAGGGCTTCCCTTCTTCCTCCCCTCCCCTCCGCTACCCTTCCCTTCCCTTCCTTTTTCTTCCTCCAGTAATTGCAACAAGAGGGTGGTATGGGGGTTTTCTTTCTGTGTGCCCCCAACTCTTTAACATACATTATGTATTATTTATCAGTCTTCTGCAAAGTATTACACAAATGCATCTTGAAGATCTATCCCTTTTACCAGGCCTTTCTAATCTCCAAGATCCCAAAGGGAGGTCTCCCTCTGTAACTGTTTGAAAAGTACCACTGAATTGAAGAACTCTTTCTTAGTGCCCCATCTGTGTCCAGCTCCATGGGGGCACAAGGAGCAAGTATTTGGCCCAGTCAGGTGGCAGGGCAGGCATGGCCCCAGCCACCCCCCACCATCACATGCCTGTGCTCAGTAACACCAGGCCAGTGCTGTGAGTCCTTGGGAAGGATTAATGGTTGTGAAGGTTCAAACTCGAAGGCCTCTTAGAGGAATTGATATTTGCAAAAATAGTTTTCAAGAGTTTGGAGACTCACAGGCATGAAAGGAATAGAAGAACATTCCTGGAAGATGGAAGGGTGTGTGCAAATAGAAGAGTGAGGAGCAGACAGTCTGAGGTGGTTCTGCTTCTAGAGCTTAAGGGAAAAAGGAAAGCAGATGACAAATCAGATGAGGTGTGGGGTCTTATGTGCCACGCTAAGGAGTCTAGAATGTACACCAAAGGAAGCTGAGAGCTTGGATGGTCTCTGAGCAGGGGTCCATCTTTAAAGCAAGTTGAACCTGCAATCCCTCTTTGAGGCTTAGAGTAAGGAAACTCAACATTCACCCAGAGGCGCTGACTGTGCTCCTACAGCAAGAAACTCTTTGTAGTGGCTCCCTCTGACTGTAGCCACCCCACCCCAGCTTTCCTCTGCCTTGCTTTTCTGCTCATTACTTTCCACAATGCCGCCAACCCTGAGCCTTGATTTCTACTACTTGTAGTTTTGAAAGCATGACCCTTCCTGTCCTGATTCTTCACATTGCAGCCATCTTTGGCACTGCGTCTTTTTTACCATCATTCCCTAGTAGTCATGAACTCTGCTGAGCCCACATCAGCCCTCTATTCACCTCTGGGTCCTCAGGACCTTCAATAATGCCAGCCAATTCACTCTGTTCAGTCATCATTCCAGTCTGTTCATTCAAGTACTAGTTGTTTAAGCAAAGGCAAGATGAGTAGGTGGAGAGTGATGGAATTAATTTTTAATGAATAAGAAAAACAATGAATGCATACTCAAGGAAGCCCATGCATAAGTAAATGAAGAAATGAACAAAAAAGAAATAAGTGATGAATGTGCTCATGAAGAAATGAATAAACTCTTTCAAAGGGCTGATGCAGGCTAGAGCTGCCCTGTCTGGGAAAACAGCTGCAAGAAGACAAGATTCAGAAGAAAAAGGGGCCCCTCTTGGGGTCTCTCCCAGGCCAGCGGCAGGAGGTGTGACTGCAAGGAGAAGCCTCCCTGGCCACAGGAGAAGGTGGCCCACACGGAGCATGCAGCTGTGGGTGACTTACAGAGTCACACTCAGCAGTTCTGTGTGGGCTTCTGGCAAATTTATGGAGCTTCATGTAGCTTTAGAGAACCCAGACTCTCCCTGTTGGAGCCCCAGGCTCTAGGCCCCATGATTCTGCTGGGCCCTCGGGGGAGTAGGAAATTGACCCCAATTTCCTGGAGCTTTGGCCTGGGCTGATGATGCATTTGGCCTCCAGCCCCTGAAGGGCTGCAGACCTCAGCACTACGTGGGCCAGAGCTGGCTGGAGAGCTGGGTTTGCAGCAGAGAATGTATTTGAGCTCACTGGAATCTGCTCAGGGAGTTTCAAATGGGGGAGGCCTCGTCACAGAAGGTGGGAGCATAAGGTACTGGTCTTGCTGCCTCCTTCTCTCCCACCCAGCTCATCTGGCCTTCTTCTGCTTCTAAACCTACCTTTACAAAAATAGGGTACCCACTGCCTAGAATCCTCAGCCTGCAGTGGGTCAGGACTTGTGGTTTCCCATGATGGAACCCAGAATTTCTAGCCCCAGCTCCGGATCTCATTGGCTCTTCCTCCAGGGGAACCACCTGTCGCCACAGCGTGCCTCTCTTTCTTGCACACTTTTTCACCTTTGTCTGTGGCGTGTGTTCCACACACCAGACTTTGGAGCCTCTAGAAGTTCAGAACCTCCTTCCGAGCTCTACCTTGCTGCTCTCAGCATTTGCTCCAATCTGGTGCAGAGGGCAATCAGCCTTGCTAACGGCAACTGAGTCTAGTTTGGCCACAGAAGATCCCATGGTTGTGAGGCTCTGATCTGGGAAGAATAGAGACCAGCTCTGTGGGTGTTCTTGGGAAACTGAAACAGGTTGCTGCATTTGGTTTGAAACACAATATTACAGGGTAAGGTAAAATTTCTCACAAAAAGGACTGAACATCCTTTGGCAAAAGTTTGCCTCTCTGTGCCCTTAAATCTGTCAAAAACCATGTACTCTCTAATTTCTCTACCTCTCTAGTCACAGAGATTCTTAGAGATCCACATTGTCAAATACTTATTAAATACTCAGTGTCCTGAAAATCATTTTAACAATCTGTCCTAACAGAAATAATGTTTGTTTTATGAATTTGAAAAATCTTCTGGGTTAGTGTCTTTATTTGCTTCCTTGAAACAATGTAGCCTCAGCACTAAGAATGGGCACAAATCGTGGCTTGTGCTGAGACTTGGTTTATGACCTGACTCTGCCCATATACAACTCATGGGACCCAGAGTAAGTTCCTGTCCTTTCGGAGCTTCAGCAGCCTTGACTGAATTGCAGCAGGGGTCTCTGAGGTCACTTGCTCTATGATTTTTCTGCCTTCTGCTAGGAAGTTCTAGGTGCACAGTACACATTTATTGAGCCTGAAATGAGGTGCTGTGCCTTCTTGTGCAGGCACCGTAGCCATGATAGCTATGCCACATCCACAGCAAAGGCCTTCCAGGCAGGGGCCAGCTCCACACCACTGGTGACAGGAAGGCTTTTCACAGCCACCCGCTATGACTCACACTGTGAGTCTTTGCTGCTTCTTCACCCACTCTCCCTTTCAGCCACTCTAAGTTGCTGAAGCCTAGTATTGGGTGCTCTTCTTGGCTCATGAAGCACGGGCAGCCTTGGTCCTTTCCTGCTGCAGACAGCTCTGCAGGCCCTGTCCCCACCCCTGAACTCTCTGCTCCCCTAATCATCTGCAAACCCCCCATGGTGCTTCTCACTGGGGGCTGGGCCTGAGTTATCACCTCAAATGGCTCAGGAGTGTCTGAGCTGGATTAAACCCTGAGACAATTAGCACCTCTGGGCTGCCTGCCCGTGGAGTCCCTGCCCTGAAAATGTTTAGAAGCAGTCGGAAAGGGAGCACTGTAAAGCCAGAGCACTGCCTACCAACTTGAAACCCACTTGTGGGCCAGTTCTTAGCCTTCTCTGGGCTCAGAGATATTGTTTCACTTTCAAACATTTATTATGAGTTGTGAAAATGAAAGAAAGTGAGCAATACCAGCTTGCTGCCCACAAAAGCACTCAAAAGGGGAGGAGGGGTGGTTATTACAAGTCTCCATCTTGATTTAAAAGGATAAGGACACTATAATGCTAGAATGAACTGCCAAGTATGCTAAGTATAAATTTGCTCTCTACACTGAAGTTGGAACTCAATGAATTACATACTATTTACTATTTAGTCACTGGGTCACCATAACCATGTTTCTAGTATTCACTGGCCACCTGCCGCAGTGGCATGAAATGCTTGCCGCAGAGCACTGGGCGCCAGGGAGTATTGGTCTAGAGAAACTAGAGAGAACAAGAGACCAGGTATCACCATTCACTGCCCTTGTGTCCGGCAAATGTGCCTTCTCTGACTTTTTGCAGCTTGCCAGCAGAGGGCTAGCTTTTACTTTGTGGCCTTTGTCTCTCTGCTCTTTGAGAGCCCACCGGGGGCATCAGGAACTCTGCACTGGAGTGGCTATAAAAGCAGTACCTCATTTATGATTTTCCCAGGCTGCCACATTTGGTGGCGTAGGTTGCATCTACCCAATCTCGGGAGTACCCTTGGCCATACCTTATTTTCATTGCCTCGTTTAAGGCTCACAAATAAACTAGGAGGAAAGTAGTATTACCCCCCTCCATTTTATACACAAGGAAACTAAAGCTTAGAGTGTTAAATAACTTGTCCTCCAGCTACTAAGTGGTGAAGCCAGAATTTGAATCCAGGCTCCAGATCTAACATTATACTGCCTCCCATGAAATGGGGGAAGTGCAGGTTTAATCTATTCATTAGCTTTTAGCGGCAGTCGAGGGAAATGTATGACACTTCCCGACTCTCTTTCCTGCCAGGATCTGAAACTTGTTTGGAAAACAAAGAATTCCTGCTCCTTACAAGCTGTTTGACTCTAGATGCTCTGGGCCCTACGGTTCTGCCGTGTTTACAGGCAGGAGAGGGGATCTGAGGTGAATACTAGCTTTGGCTCTCGGGCCCCTGGTCTGAGGGTAGAGGAAATTCATTTTTGGTACAAACTAGAAATGTCAATTGTGTTAGGAGCCTGCTTGGCACGCTCCCCCTCATTCTTTCAGTCGACAAGCTTCTTCGGGTCCAGCCTCGCCACCCCTTGCCAAACAGAGCTGCTTGAGTCGTCTGATAAATTTACATTTTCCTATCCTTTAAATACAAACTGGCCATGAAAGTTCCCTGGCAGGCCCCAGGCAGACTGGGTTTCAGTTTGATAGCACAGCCACAGCCAGAAGATTATTTGGCTCAGCAGTTTGTATAACTGTTAGCAACAGTTTTATGTAAGGGAGGGAGAGAGAAGCTGATCAACCTGGAAAAGATCATGGTCCTCTCTGGCCTATGATTGTTCCAACACAGGCTCCTGTACCCTGAAAGTTACCAGGAGTATGCACAAGCACCCATGGGTGTCCCCAGGAGCCTGGAGGTTCATGGCCAAGGATTTTCAGACCCAGCCTACTGGGTTCAGTCTGTGCTCTGTGGGGGCATCTGGGTGCTGACTGGGATGGAGAGACTTCTGTGAGTCTTGGTTTTCTTACCCAAGAAGTGAGAAAATTTGCTTTGATGTCCACTGAGGCCCTTCCTTTTGCCCTTAATCCAACTGCCACTTCCTGAAGACCTACTAAGTGCCAGGCACTGTCCTGAGTCCTGATAGCACCCAACTGATTAAAAGTTAAGTGAAGTGCTATGAGGCCACAAAACACTCAGACCATGGGCAGGTCATGTGGCCAATGCGAGAAGTGGGGATCCTGAGGAGGAGTGCAGAAGGAAGGCTGATAAAAGATCAGAGGAAGGGGACCCTGAGGGCTGAGGTGTGCAGCAGATGGAAAGCCAGGCAACTGCAAGAAGGGAGAGGACTAGGTAAGACAGAAGATGCAGAAGGGAGGGCTCAGCCTTCCTGGGGACGGCCAGGGGTCTGGAATGCTGCCCAAGGAGGAAGAGGGACTCTGCAGCCTAAAGGGCTAAGCAAGGACATTGTCACGATCAGAAGAGAAACAACCAGGAAGCTTTATGATCTCTCAGAAAAAAGATGATGGTGATCAGGGTTAGGGTAGTGGCACTGGGACAGAAAGGGAAAGCTTTAAATGTTTTGAAGGGAAAAAGGCTAAGAATTCCAAATGGCTTAGATGTGAGAAAAGGGAGAAGAACGAGTTGAAGATGGTGAGTTAAGGCACCTGGCTTTTGGAGGCACACACTAAATAATAAAGACAGTGCAGGTTGGAGGAAGACGGGATCTGTGGTGGAGCTTAGCCTCATCGAGATGATGATCTTTGCACATCTGTGAGTGTGGGGGTTGGGTTATGAACTTTAAATGATGGCTCCTCCTGTCTTTCATTTTCCTTTCCAATTCTTGATTCTTTAACCATCCTACTGGGTGGTGAATGCTAGATGTGGGGATTTAGAAAAATTCACTGACAGAACTCCTCAGTAGAAGCAGGCAGAGCTTTCTCTAAGTGACACATAGTTAGAGATAAAATTCAAACCCTCCAAGCACCTCCTGACCTCCCTTTCTTCCACTGTGTACCCAAAATTGTACTTCTCAGCTAAATTTGGGCCCTTTCTGTCAGGAGCCCACTGATGTCTAAAGATAGTGGTAGTTTTGTGACCTTAAATATTTCAAGGACCAATGTGGGTGGTGATAGTGATAGAAAACTGAGAAAGCTGGAAAATATTCCCTGATAAGAGTAACTTCAATGATTAATTTCACATACTGGGAATCCACGTATATTTCCTGTGTAAGGTTCCAACGCTAAAACATGCTCAAAGTCAAAGAGCTTTGAACGACTAAGGCATGATGTTGAAGGGAGAGAAATGAAGCTCAGAGACATTGCAAAGGAAGCTAATTAGTAATGTTGCCACTGTACAATCCAGGCCGAGGTAGACAACAGGCTGGAGAAAGTGGCTGTTGTGGTATAATCTGGTCTTTGGTGAGCAGAGAGAAAAGGCACCAGGATATGCATCTCAGGCTCGAGAAGGTTTACCTGGGAGGTGTCGCTGTCCTCACACTTGATCCTACACTCGCTGTTGAACTGGAAGCCATTAGTGCACTGATAAAGCCCATGGAATTTGGGTGGTGGTGGGTCACAGGTCACGGGAACACAAGCAACCTCCTGCCAGCTGCCATCCTGGGTGCACTGAGTCTTGAAGGCCCGTCTTCAAAAAAGATAGGAGAGAAGAGACAGCTCAGGACCAAAACGTCGGAGCCTCACCATCGCAACATACTATCGAGTGGCCTCACTGTTGTCTTCCTATTCTTGATTCCCTTTCCTGTCTCATCAGGTTGGGGAGGGATGTGTAGTGATTAAGGGAAAAGAATTCACAGATCTCTTTCTCCAGCAGCAGATAGGAAGTCTGACTCTCTCAGTTGTATGTGGGTTAGGATGAACCCACATATTAACCTACTAACTTTTCAACCTCCCCCTTCCATCTGGAGTGTTCTGAGGGGTGCTGGCACAATGATGCTATGAATACCCACAACTATGGGTATGAGTACTCCACAACTACTAAGCTCAAGGCTCTTTTTTTTTTTTTCCAGTGCTGGGGGTTGAACCCAGGGTCTTCACACTGAACACATTCACCATCCTCTTTAACTTTTACTTTGAGACAAGGCCTTGCCAAATTGCCCAGTTGCCCAAGCTAGGCTGGAATCTGTGGTCCTTCACAGATTCAGCCTCCCAGAATGTGCCAAAAGGCTGGCTTGTAAATGGCATGTTTATAACCACTTTGCACACATATCTTCATTGATTCTTCATAAAAACCTGATGGGTTCGTATCATCTTCATTTGGCTGCTGAGAAATGCCAGAGAACTGAAATCCCTTGCCTGAGATCACACAGCCAGTTTTCAGCCAAGATAGAACTTAAAAATGTTTTTTTTTTTTTTTTTTTTTTTGTATATATATATTTGAACTCACAACCTTGTACTTGCTAGGTAGGTGCTGTGCTGTTCAGCTATATCCCCAGCCCTTAAAGTTAGTTCTGTTGGCCCCAAATCTGGAGCTATGTGTGCTTCTACAAAACAGAATGGGATGGCTGAATGGTCATCAGAGCAATGTGTATTTCCTTCCAAAGGGGCAGTCAAATCTGACTCTGTTCCTTCCCATAGCTTGTGGACTTGTTTCAGGCCTCACTTACTTCTTTGACTTCCGAGAGGAGCCAGGCACGTGGTATCCAGGCTTGCACTTGTACTTGCAGAAGGATCCCACCTTGTGCTTATTCTCCCGGCACCGGGCTGTCTGGAGGTCAGCGTTTGGCACTGGGGCTGGGGCGAGACACATGAGCTCACACAGGGCCTCTGGGAAGGACCACAGCCCATCTTCCATACAAGTCAGGAAGCTGTTGTTGCCTGGGAGACACAAATGGCAGGGTTGTCAGACAAGGGAGCCCTGGATAACTGACCTAACACATAAGTTGTCCAGGTTTTAGCTGACTTGACCACAAAGAGAATCTCTCAGGTGGACCTCCAGTTTCTTCCACTTCTATACCTGAGGATCCTAAGGAGCTCCAGAAAGCTGCCACAAAGAAGAGGAGACACACAAAAAATGGAGTGAACTGTACCGATTCTTACAGTGATATAAAACCCAATGCTTATATAATGGTTAAAATCCAAAATGGCCAGTCTCCTCATTATGAAGATTCAGTGGCTGATGGGCTTGGGGTAAATGTTTGGATCATGAATGCTCTGGCTTCTCTGTGGATTACCTCTTGATAACATTACTCTTGAAGACATTATTTGAGAGTGATGGAGACAAGAGACAGGAGACAGGAGACAGGAGGTGGGGGCCTTCTTGAAGGGAGTGGGTCCCAGTCCCTTCCTTTCTGATTCTTTCCCTTTCTCTCTGCTTTCTGGCTGCCAGATGAGCAACTTTTCTCACTCTGACTCTCATCAGACACATTTCTGCTTTACTAAGGTACCAAAATCTATGGGGCCAGCCCACCAGAGACTTAAACCTCTGAAATTATGAACTCAAATAAGTCGTTCCTGCTTTAAATTGTTTATGTCAGGTATTTTGTTGCAAAAATAGGAATCTGCTTAACACAGCTTCTAAACTTCTCATGCTGCCAAGAAAAGAGACCTTTGCTACCCTTCCTTCCATCCTGTTTGCCCAGAGATGAAGGAACTTGCCTTCTGACAGCTAGCATAAGTCGCTCTTATCAGAAACCATTCCAATTCTGAAATCCATGTGCTCTGCGAGCTTAACCAACCTAACTGGATCCGTGCATCTATCCTGGTCCTACCCATACCTGGAAGTGACACATCATGTTATCAGGAGTTGAGGTTTTCTGCTGAGGTCCCAGTGCTCAGAAAAGCACTGCTAAATAAGCCAAGAGAGTGGCGCTACCTCGCAGCTCACGCCAGCTCGGACAGATCACTGATGGCTACCGGGGTACTGGCCTAATGGGGAATGTTGAAAATAAAAATAAAACACAGCAGTAAGGTTTTCCTCTGCCAGTTCATATATTATCAAGGCACAGCCTGCTCAAAGCTCCCCAAGACAGAGCAGGACCTACAATGAGTAAATACTGAAATAGTTTCTTCCCTGGTTAGAAGTGAGTGATGCTGACAGCCAGAGCTCTAGGACTTGAAACTTGGAGGAATGTGGGGTTAGGGAGGAAACCAACATTTACTGAGCAGGTACTATGCTCTGAGTGCCTCCTGTCTACAGTCTCATTTGTTCTACATTAAACAGTGTGATTCACATGACAATACTCATTTAGAAACAGGGACTTGGAATGAGAAGACTTTATCAAGCTCTTATAGCTTGTCTTATAGCAAGAAAAAAACCTCACTTTGAAACCAATTTTGTCTAACCACAGAGATGGTTGTTTTTAATGGAAAGTTGGCTATATATGCCCAGAAGATCTCTTATTTTCTGGAAGAGCCAACCTCAACTTTCCTATTCTCGGAAAGAAAACAATTGCTCTTGACTTTCATATGTTGAGAAGATTAAATGCAATAACATTTACACAAAGGGCCCATAAAAGGACTGTCAGTGTCATTGTTTGCTTAATTTGTTCCCTTATTCCCTCTCTCTTCTCCTATTAACATAGCTTTTATATGTTGGGGGAAAAGCATCAAACAAAACAAAATGAAACAAGAATAACCCTGCCCTCTTGATGCTTACAATCTATCTGTATAAATAAAAACACAATGAATTATCCTTAAAGTAAATTATTGTGTTTACCCTGCTAGTAGGTGGCAAGTATTATATGCAAAAATAAAGCAAGCCAAAAAGAAAAAAAAAAAAGAAGTGATTGCTTTGCAATTTCATATAGGCTGTGCTGCTTTTCTACCCCAGTCATTTTCTCTATTTCCTCCCCTGGCGGAGTGATTCATCTGGGTAGCACAAGGCATTTTAGTGTCTGTAAACCTCAAAGAAAATATTACATTGATAAAGTGTAATACTGCCAGCTACAGACATTTTAACATCATGTTAAACAAGTAAAGAGTGTGGAGCGACAACTCATTTGGCTCTCACAGAAGCAGAGAGGCATCCAGAACCCAGGGATTACAAACTTCTGGTCTAATTTGCTTTGGGAATTGGGATGGTCATTGTTTTGAGATCTCAATCACAATTTAAACTTAATAGGAAAGGCAGCTATAAAAGATACAGAGACTGAACCTTCTTTAAATTACTCATGATGGATAAAATGTAAACAAGTGTTGGGGATCATTAAAAGTACACTGTATCATTTATTAAAATTATGACTTGTGGAGTGCAAATGATAGTTCTCAAATGACAAGATAACATAAAAAATTGTCTAATGCTAATCAAGAGATGATGCAAACCACAAACATATTCTGGAGGAAACCACTATAATTAGGACTTGACAGTGTCAAAAGAAAAAGCATCTCTTGACAGTGTCAAGAAAAAGAGCAAAAGAAAAGGAGGAATTGGTGGTTCAGGACCATGGATATGTCCCCTACCTCCACAACAATTCAAAAAATGCAGACAATGAACTGTACAGAATCAAAATTTCCATACCCCAGCTATAGCTGCTACTTAAATTCACTAAAGGCTTTGAAGAAAGCAAGTATGGTAGACGCAGAACTGTGCCTTTTCCTCACGCCCTTGGCATTGACCTCAGTGTGTTGAAGAATGCTTACCACACACACTGAGACTTTTGGTTCTGGTCATGAACACACACTTGTCCATAAAACAGGCAAGCTCAAAGTACCAAGAAGTTGGTAAGCAGAACTAAACCAGCGATGAGCCAAGTAGGTTTACATGCCAGCTGTAGAGCATGCTTTACACTGTACCTCAGAGTCTCCAGAGGTCTGAGTTCTTGTAATGCACAATGGTAACTAATTTTAGAAGAGATCCTTGTCGATCTTTGTTAATTCTCATACCCTGTCCTCATCCCTTACTTGCATTTCCTGGAAAAGGTGACTCGGATAACAAAACAAAAGCATGTATAATCCTGGAGCTCCTAGCAGAAGCTAAGATTGGTGATAATGGAAATTAGGATCCTATGAGCTTTTGGGTCCCTGTCTCTTCACTTGCTCATCTTTTGAAGCTGGGATAATAAATCTTGCTCTGCCTGGTTTTATAAATGTGGCTGATTTGAGTTCTGAAAGCACATTTCTAGGGCCCAGGGATCACAAGGAGTTAAACCGCTCATATGAATTGTATTGACATCCTCAGAAAGTATATCGTTTGCTCCATAATCAATCCAATTGCACTTTGCTTAACTCCCACACCCTGGCACATGTCTGCACAGAATTCTATCAAGGTCTGCCTATAATTTGAGTCCCTGGAATTGACCAAGAGGAAGAATCACTTATATCATCTTCTTGATTCTTTTATTAAATTAACATAACTGCAATTTGTGATTAATCCCATTTTTTAAGATAGAAAACTAAGATTCTAGAGGGCTAAACTAATGGTTCATCAAACTAGAGTTGAAGTTCAGTTCAGGTCTATCTGATTCATTAATTGAGCTTTTCAGTCTGTTCTCTGGCTTCTAGCACTGAGGATGGTGAAGCCAGAACCATAATTTATAGAAAGTGTTATGGAACCAGGAATTTAGACCATCAGAGGATCATCAAATCAGGGGCTATGCACACAATAGTATTTCACCTTCCTCATCTTCTGCCCTCTGTCCAGAATGATGTCCCTCATTTCCAAATTTCTTTGCCAGGGGTCCCTCGTTTATTTTTCCAAAAGCCAGACACAAAGCAAAGAGAATGTTCTAAGAAGCAGTCATTTTTAGGGATCATGATGAGGAAACCTTCCTAAGAAAAGTGAAAAGAGTGTGGTACCTTGGAGACTTCTATGCAGGCAGGGATGGACAAATGCAAGTGTAAAACACAAGTTACACTATTTCAGCAGGGTTAAATACTAAGCACTTTAGAATGTGAACATTCTCCACATCCATCCAGCTCTCCACTCTTCTTCAATAAAATTTAGTAAAACAGAAAAGACTCAGGATTAAATGGATGTAGTATGAAAAGTCACAAACAGAAGAAGTTTTAAATCCAAGGACAAAGCTGAGGTAGCAACAGCAACAACCTCTTAGAAAGATCTCTGTAGAATCCAGGTGTGTTTACTTTAGAAGATGCACTCCCTGTAAATACTAAATGTACACAACATGGTTAAACTGAGTTGGGGTTAATTAGATGATGTAAGTAATGTTGTATTTTTAGACAGTTGATTAAACATTTATGATTCTGATTTTCAAGTTTTCTTTTTTGAGTTTGAGATGACTGTGCACCTCATGTAGTTTTGTCAGTTCTCTTTGTGTTCATTTGATAAGGAATCCTGGCAGAACTAACTTCAAAATGGTGAATTCTCAGGATACTTTGCCTAAATCTTGAACACAGGTTGGAATTAAAATTGTATTACAGTACAGTTGAAAAAAGTTTATCTGGAATGTAAGAGTGAGATTTTTTTTTGTTGCTTGTGTAAAACTATCTTCCTAGGGACTACACTCATTAGTTCATCCCGCATGGTAGTTGTTCTTTCGAACTCATCAACCTTGTATCCTGGGGAAAACATGGAAGATAGACCGTGTCTTCGTAATTTCAGAGTCAAGGACTCCTCAGGACAAACAGATCAGTGGCTGGGAGATCAGATACTGTCAGGTCTTTCAATGAGGTGCTTGTTGAAGAAATGAGTTTGTACTAAGCACTTTCTCTCACTTTCACTTAGATCCAACATATACCATCTTTTTAAAACCTCAACTGAACCTTCAGCATAAGCACCCATAATCACATTTTAAAAGTGAGGATATGAAGCCTCATAGGTCTCTGTAATTACTTATATAAATCTGAAACTCTGAAAAGGGATAGAGCCAAGATTAGAAACTTGGGCTAATTTGAAAGCTATTGCTCCCTCTGCTTAATTCATGCTGCAAAGACAGGAAGAAAAAAGAGGTGGGAGGAAGAAAAAGAAGCATCCCAAGTAATGGGAAAGAAGCTACTTTGATCACCTATATACTCCCAGCCTTGACAAAGGAGGCCAGTCAGGTGAAAGTAACAAGCTCAAGGTAGCAGTGGCAGGATCCATGCCTAGTCCATGCTGCACAAAAGACCCAGTCAAAAGCTTCAGAATAGGAGTTTGTATACTGAGAATGCAGATCAGCAAGCTTCATAAATGGTAGTTGGCCTAGAGGGTCAGTGTGTCAATGAAAGAAATGCTTCTCAGTATTCTCAATTCATGAAGAACTCTCAAAATGATGGTCCTCCTGAGGCTTCATTTCCAGAGTACAGTCCCCTTCCCCCCATCATAGTCAGCAAAGAAGCAATGGCAACAAGGTCCTGCATCGCTTTAGGAATTATTATGGGCCACAATAAAAGCTATAATAATCAATGCTAATTTACACACTTCTTTTCCCCACGGGCCCCTGATTGAGAGAAGTGTGATTGCCTAGTCTGAAGTTATTAATACATACTGTATCCTATTGGAAAACGGGGCCAAGCAGTTAGCTTGGATGGCTTGAAAGTTGGAGGTTTTCCAATTTTCATGGCTTTCCTCACCTCTCTCTGACCTAAATCTTCATAATAGCTCAAATGAAATATCTATATAACATTTTTATTCAAATCTTGTTGGGTTGAAAAGGAGAGGAGTTATGGAGTATGTCCCAGATGTACTTCCTTCCTTTCTTTTGGGGCAATTTAGTAAGACTGATGGGTCTTTGCTTAATTTCTTAACAGAAACATGCCTGTGGTATTTATTTCATCAATATATGCAGCCATCAGCCAATACATTTCATTGATCTTACAGTATGCCAGGTCCTGGGCTCATCCATAGCAATATAGAAAGTCATTAGAAGTGCCACTGTACTCAGGAGCCTCATATCGTTGGAGCTTCCTAATATTTTGGACTCAAATGTTTTCTTGAAAATATGATTAAACCATTAGTGCCCTCTAAGCATCACAATGCCTGAACATTCCACACACATAACAGTACATCTCAGTATAGACAAATTCATAGACTTTTCTTAATTCCCCACATCCCACTGTGCCCCACTCATGCACATTCCAAATCTTGATAGACCCAGAAGTATGACCCTATACTCTGATGAGTATCATCATAGGTGTCTGGTATGGAAGTGATGTTTCTTTTGGTGAATCACATGAAAGGGGGAGTTCTAATACCTCCAGAATCAGGTATAATGTGAAAATCCTTTATGAGGTCATGCCGTAGCCAAAAGTACTCATCCTGATAGTGCTCCTAACTTGTTGTGTGGTTTTTGTACAAGCTCCTTCCACTTCTCCAACTAGATTCTGGATTCTCAATATTTCCAGCATTCTTGATGAGCTCCAAGAGCTCTCCTAGTTCTGGCATTCTAGAACCTATAGGTCAGTCTCCCTGTAGTTTCCAAAATGTGGTCCTTTAGTCAGTACTGTCAAACTTTCTCACTCTCCTCTGCATCCTGAGTGCCCAATCCAAACAGGATGCCATTCAGCCCTTGTTCATACCTGTAACTCTTCCCCTTCTTTTAGAGTAACACTTGGCATTGTACATGATGACTCTGCTAAAACATGTCCTTCTCCCACAAATACAGCAACCTTGGGCAGATTCTTTAAGTTTTGAGGCTCAGTTTTCTCCTTTATTAAATGAAAGTATGAATGTTCCTTTACCTCCTATAGCATACTGGGCCTTAATGATGCAGACTGATCTTGTTGCATCCATATCAATTATAGGTTTCTCTATCCTCTTCATCCTCCGCATCACACACCCAACAAGATTTTCAGTCTGGAAATGTATTTCACTGACATTTTTATCCACATAGTTATCCCTAGCTGCACAATGGGGCAGTTTATCAAAATACAATAGGTAGAAAGAAATGAAGAACACAGATGTAACCTGGTCCAGCCCTCAGTGTTTGAGACCCAGAAGGAGGGCCTGGAAGTAGTCTCTAGGTTTCCCACAGACAAAGGAAGGCCGAGATGAAGCAAAGACTGATGATACCTTTCAACTGTGCAGGGTGACGGCACTGAAAGGAACACTTGCTGCCAAAGGTGGTGCCCTCCAGACAGGAGAAGGAGGCGGCATAGACGTGATGGTGGTCGGGGACACCGCAGTCCACTGGCTCACAAGCCACCTGCTTGTTCCACTTGCCCTCTGTGCAGGTCACTGTGACACTGGGTCCAGTCTAAAAAGCAGAGATAGGCACAGTAAGGGAGGGCAGACTAGGCCCAAGATGTGGAAAAATACACTTCTTCCACTTGTGACATCTCAGTCTTGCCTAGACACCAGGTAACCAATGCTTTGTGCTTGACATGAGCTCATCTTAAATAATTTCAACAGCTGTGTGAATCATAAATTTCAGTCCCCATTTAAAGGTGTGAAATCTGAAGCTTACGGAGATTGTACAATAAATGCCTGGTTAAGTGTATGTGGGACACAAACCCAAGATTAGCTCTTATTTATTCTTTATAGAGTCTCCAAGATCACTATTTCTACTTTTTGGACGAGAGTTTGAAAATCCAGGGACCTTCCTAAGTATGGCGACTTCTTTACCAAAAAACACATGAGGCCTGGTTAAAGGGGAGGAACCTTGGGGGTTGCTCTTGGCTACCTTTTATTGGAGCATAATGGAGTCACTGGTACACAGTAGGTACTGATGTGGGATACAGTAGACCAGAGTATTTGTCTTTTATGTTATCAAACCACATGCAAATCCATTTCTTGATTTCTCATATTGATAAAATGAACTGACTGAATGTGAGAATTGCTCTATCAACCATTCACTATTCTGAGCTTTGTGGCTCAATAGTCAAGACAAAAAGATATGAAGAAGAAACAAGTCTAGGGAAAATGAAAGCATTGGCAGAGACATGAACTAAACTAGAAGATGGTGGGGCTGTGTAGGTAGAAGGGTGAGGCCATGCTGCAGAGCCAAGGGAAAGACTTACTGGCAGCCCATAGGCTTCCATTCAAAGAGAAAGCTGCCAAATCCCAGAGTACTGAGGATGCCAAATGTTGATCTAGGATTTTAAAAGTAAAGGACATTTTCCTCTATTAAACACACATCAAAGGGAATAAAGGTCTTTCACTGCCAAAGCAGCTTAATTGTTTCCATAGGAGTTCAGACCTGCCATGTCTGACACACAGAAGGAAGTAAGTGTCTTAGACCAGCAAGCCCAGAAGCTCTGTACCAACAGGCAAAGCCAGTAATAAGGATGTGCCTGTGTACTTGGAGTGCAGAAGCAAAATCAACGGGCAGAGCCCTGGAAAAGCTGCTTCCAGCAATAGGGCTCTGAAATCCTCAAATCCCAGGGCGAGAAGGACCTTTTACTGCCAACTTGCCCATTCCCCCATTCCGCACTTGAGACACCAAAGCAGCATCTGGCTAAAGCAACATCCTGCTACATCACCCAAACCCATTTTTTAGTAGTCATTGCACACTAGACTCGTCCCATCTTCCACACACCCCTGTGATGATTTTCTGGAGGGTTTCTGCTGTCCCCCTTCCTGCTGGACCCCAAGCCACATGGGCAGCCAGAAGTATCTTTGTTGAAATGATCTGACTACAGTGTGCCCTTCAATAATTCCTTGTTGCCCTAAGGATGAGCCCCAAACTTTCTGACCAAGCTGGCAACCCCTGCATAGGTTGACCTGGTTTGAGGCTCTAGCCTCAGGACTTGGGTGACTTTACAGAACTTAAAACTTGCACCAGTGGCATGCTCCTTCTCGGCAAGGGAGTTCCATATACTTTCCCTGCCAATGCTAGAATATCATCCCTGCTTTCTACTCTTCGCCTGCCTATGTCCTTCTCAGCTTTCATGTTCCTTCTAGGACACTTCCCTTGAATCCCACTGTGCTTCCACAACACCCTATACTCCTCTATATATTATGTGTCACTCTGTAAGGTCACTGCTTATGAAGTGTCCATCTCTTCTCCCCACAAGAAACTAACACATTGGGGTTGGGGATTTAGCTCAGCAGCATAAGTGCCTGCCTTGCAAGTGCGTGGTCGTGAGTTCGATCCCTGGTACTGGTAAAAAAACAACAAACAAACAAAAAAACCTAACACATTGCGAACAGGGACTAGGACTACTTAATCATGTCTTTTGCTCTAGGACCTAATAGCATCTGATTGGTAATGAAAATGCTTTGCAATGAATGGTTACCTTATAGACAGAAGACTTACCTCAACCTAAAACACCCCATTCAATTATGGCAGAGGCCTAACTGTAAATGCTTTGTTTTACATGCTCAGCTCATCCTCTTGCAGATCTGCAACTTACACAAAAACACTGATGTGCACAGCATGTGGAATATGCTGCACAGGAATGCTTCTCTGAAGAGTCTAGACTGGTTTTTTGGTTACTTGATTCGTGTGTGTGTGTGTGTGTGTGTGTAGGTGAGTGAGGGGTTGGGAAATAGAGAGACAGAGACAGAGAAAGAGACAGAGACAGAGACAGAGAGAGTAAGAGGAATCTACTATGTGTGTTATGTGGCAGCACTATTTTCATAGCATTATTTTCAGTGCTGGAGGTTGTGCAGAGAACATGTTTTGCACCCACCATCCTTCCCCAAGGCTGGAAGAGGGCTCTGTGCTCAGCACCTGCACACACCTTGCTTTTGATCAGCTCATCATCCCGCTGTATCTGGAGCACGTAGCCTTTCTGGCAGCTGACTGTGCACTGGGCACCATGGTAGCTGTCGCTGCTGGAACAATTGAGAAATGCATTTTCCACGGCCAGCGCTGGGCAGTCGGAGGCCTCGCAGGCAAAGTGCACACAGCTGAGAAGGAAAAAAATGAGAGGTAAGGGGGTGTTTGCTCACAGGACAATTTCACTGCAAAGGTAGGACAAAGACTGAACTCTCCAAAATTTCAGAAAGCTAGGCCTGAGGAAAGGAAGGGATGTTGCTTAGGTTAAAGAAGACTGGAAGCCATAGTTAAGGTTTTACTGCTAAAAGTACAGATTACTAGGATAGATGATAAGGATTCATATCCTGCCACTTGAAAGGTTTTTATGTTACCCAGTTTTCAACCTGCTAGAACCTCAGTTTTCCAATTTATGAAATGAAAATCATTAGGATTACAGCAAATATGTAGTGCCAGGCACTGGGTTGAAACCTCTGTATATTTTATAAGAATATTCTGAGCCAATGATAGAGCTCAGTGGCACAGTTCCAGGTGCAAAGTCCCAAGTTCAATTCCTGGTACCAAAAAAAAAAATTCATTTCTAAGGGTCATGGCAGAATTAATTCAGTTAATTCAGGAAATACACGTGGATAATTCCTTGTGCTTACTAAACACTCAGGGATTGGTAACTAATGTTATATATATACATGTCCCCCGTCCCCCATTACCTAGAAGCTGTGTAACTTTGGGCCTTTCTGAGCTCAGCACACCCTTAAATGTAGCTAACTTCATAGAGCTATTAGACTCAGCTGAAGTGAGGGAGGTAGAAGTCTTACATAAACTACAAAAGTGACATTGCACAGAGATCAAGCCTTGTCTCTTGCAGCTGCCATTGTCTGCTTTTCTTTTAGGCTGAATTTTCCCCCTTCTTCACCCCTAAGCTCTATGTAAACGTCTATACAGTGTTTTCCCTTGTGTCCTCAGGTGAACGCCCTCACAAGCACTCTGACTTCCTCTCTCTCACACAGTTGCCTTATGCTGGTTGCAAAGAAAACACAGTTCCTAAGTGCCCACCAGGTTCTGGAATGGGTGCTAATCCTTAACAGTGCAAACAGAAACCATATGCATTTCCCTTGTCTGGTCCTTTCCTCTTGCATTGCAATTATACAGACATTCAATAATCTTAGTTACTACTCACTTATTGCTTATATACATGAGCTCACTCCAGCCTCACAATAACCCTCTGAGCTAAGTGTTAGTCATTTTACAGTTGGAAAAATGGAGGACCCAGTAAGATTAAGTTACTTGTATAATTTCTCACCCACATGTGTAACCTGAAAGTCCTTGCTGTTAACATTGACCCGCAGTCCCAGACAACGGCATTCTTCAGGGCAGAGATGTCTCTTTCACCTCATGAACATTACATTGTGAATAAAAAATGCCTTACATGACAGACATTGCCAAATGACAAGAAATAAATCAAGGCTCCTAAGTACTGCACTGAGGTTGAGGTGTTGATTTCTAAGACAGAAAGCTTCTCACAGATACGTTTCTCTGACTCTCGCCTCTCTGATGGTGTCTGTGTCCACACCTATACCTAGTGTGCATAGATGGCTACATTTGCATCCATCTATTATTTTTCTGTTTTAACCTAGGATAGATTAAATCCTTCTTTGGGAGAACTGTCTGATGTATTCTAGGCGCCTGTTTCACAATTTCACACTAAAGTCTTCCCTGGGACATGCTTGCTCACCCTGCACACTCTGCCTACTGCTCAAAGTACAGTGAGAAACAAAGTGGGACAGACAGAGGCTCTCAAAGCCTCCAAAGCATATCACAGGCAAATTCACTTTCTTAAGTACTCAAAGAAGCATGAGCATTTTATTTTGATTTCAGACTCTTACCAATGGGGCTTTGCAGCCTTCCCATACACCCTCCCCATACACAGGACGAATGGCATCAAGTGACACTCTTGGGCTCTTCTCATACTCCTCCTTCTCACCCTGCTCCCTGCTCCTAAGCCTTCAGTGCTGTGGCACATAGCTATCTTGAGGAGACTGTGACTGCGGTGTCCACACAAGGCCTTTGACACCAAACAATGCATTTTTATGAATGCTGGGGAAGAAGCCACATGGTTCCAATTTAAATGGACTTATACCATAAGCTACTACTAGCTCTCAGACTCTTTCTGATCTGACACTCCAGTTCAGACACTCTTTCTTGCTTCATATTGCCAGAAGGCTCCAGAGCTCCTGTCCTGTGACAGGAGGAAAGGGGACTTTCTTTTCTGGGCCCTGGAACCATTAAGGTGAAAATGGTACCTTTTCCCCTTGTTCCATGCATGTTAAAGTTCTACTTCATAGAAAAATGAACAGCTGCAACACGACATTTCCCTGAATGAAAAACATACAGTTCTCATTTAATCAAGGATATCTAAGTTCAGGTTCCAAGTCTGCCATTTATCAGTCATGCAAACTTTGAAATGAATATAATATGCTAAGGCTCAGTTTCCTCATCTGTGAAGTGGAAGAAGTGGAAGTAATAAAGTGATTTTTCTCTTGGAGCTGTCAGCAGGATGAGCTGCCACCCCCTTTTTCATTGAGAGGCTCTCACTAAATTCTGCTGGAAGATATGTGGCATCCTGGGTATCTAAGAAGGAAGGATGTGTGGCAAGGAAAAGTCAGCCATCTCAGACAGTGATGTATGCAGTAATGACATTACAATGAAGTAAAACTGTAGACAGTGATTGTTTTGAGGAGGGGGCAGGGCACGTTATATAGAAGGATCTGCAATCAGTGGACGATTAAGATCTGGATGAAATGCAGGAATCGGTTTTACAAAACTCGGAGGTGGAGACAGTTTCTGGTAGACTAAAGTGCAGGTAGAAAGATCCAGAACAGAATGGAGTGTGTGTGTGTTAATGGAATAGAAAGGGTAGTGTGGGACAAATGCTTTTGAAACTGTGAAGTCCCATGAAAAGTTTATCTCTCTAGTCTGACTCTTTTTGCAAGAGAAGGGAAAAACTACCCTGATCACATGAATTACCTGACCAAAAGGTCCCTCAGTTGGCTGAGCACAGGCAACACTGGATTAATGAGGCCAATCAACTTCTACACTGCAAGTCTTTCTGAAAGTTCAAAATGCTAACTCACATTAAGATGTCCAGAAGGAGCAAAGGTGAAATTTATTCCCCAAGTCCTTTTTCAAGGAGTATTTCTTAGAACTAGCATCTTCCAGAACATACTTTGCAGAATGAGGCATTACTGTTTTTTTAAGTATATCTGTCTGCACGTGGCTTGAAGGCTTGCAAACAGGAAGGAGGAAGGAGGTAATGTGCGTCACGCATTGGCCACTGCATTTTATCTCCATCACCTTGTTTGCAAACACACAGTAACTCCTTGAGGCAATGATATTATTCTCATTTGCACTATGAGTTTTAAATGGCTTGCCCAAGGGCACTCAGCCTGGACAGAATCTGGGTGGAGATCTGCCAGCGTATTCCCTAACTCCCTGCTCCTTCCCTTGCTATTCTGTTGGTTGACAAAGGTTGTGTGAACACAATGTCTAAAAATGATAAACATTACCCTGACTGGTCCTCCCACATAACTTCCTGCAACAACCCTGTCATTTCTGAAACACAAAAACAAAAACAAGAACAACAAGACGAAAGAAAAGGCTCTGACTTTTTTTTTTCTTAATCGGGGAAGGAATGATGAACATTTAATAAGAATAACAAGGAAAAATAAAATGCTCTAGAAGGAAAGTGGCTGATTGGATGCATAGTGGAAGAGATACAAATAACTGTATCCATCGAATTCCTACACCTGGGTCAGGGTGGAAACCCGATGCAGAGCTAGGAAAAAGACTTCAGTCATCTTCTTCCACATATTTCTTTACAGATGCAGGTTTCATAGAGAACTGTAAGCTGCCAACCAACCCCTCAAATGTTATCCCTGCTGTTAAATGAAATGGAAGCAGAAGACACGTTGTGCAGAACCAAGATAAAGTCACAGTTAAGGGGCTGATGAAGGCTCTTCTTCTAGTATTGTCCTTTGGCTCATGGTTTAACCTGCTGTGGCCTCCTGCAATTACACTATGGGGAAATGAAGCTAATGACAGGTGGGGGGTTTCTAAGTCATCCTGGGTTGCTCAGATGGAGGCAAAAAAAACCACAAGCATGTCCAACACTGGAAAATAAAAGGAACGCTGCTCTGAAGATCATGTTTGCAGTATCATTTGGGAAGTGAGACTGAGGAAGAGCTAGCATCATAGGACCTCATGTTTTCAGAAAAAAAAAAAAAAAAAAAAAAAAAAAGACGCTGCTGGAGCAGGTGACTGTAGCTGACACTTCCTCAGTGGATTTCTAAGAGCCAGTAACCTGCAGTGGTAGGTAGCCAAAGTTTTGAAGAGCAGGAGATGCAAACTCAGTGAGCTGGGGGGTTCAGACAGACAAGGTGGCCTGGAAAGCTTGAAAGGTAAGGGAAGCTGGGATGAGTGGGGTGTCCCTGGCAGCTGCAGTACTGCTCAGACCAACGAGGCCTAGTAGCTTCAAACCTTTCAAAGCTCTGATTTCTTTAAAGAATTCCCTGAAGAATTCTGGTTTTTAATACTAATTCCCTTAATAGGTAAATGTTAGCAATCAATTAGAGAACATAACTAGTGAGAAACAAACTAATATACATTTTTGTTTGTTTGTTTGTTTTTGGACTGCAGTCTTGAAACCCTTGGTGAAGAGAAAGGCTAAATGATTCCTAAGAACTGGATTCAGGGCTGGGGATTTAGTTCAATGGCACAAGCGCCTGCCTGGCAAGTGTGAGGTCGTGAGTTCAATCCCTAAAGACACACATGATCAGAGATAGCACTTTCTTTTGAAGAATATCCTGGGACAATGATTTTCAACCTAGGGTGTAAGAGACACTGATTCCTTTGTGAGTTGGGGAAGCTGGATGAGGTGGGCAGGATAGTGAAGTGTGTGGTCTTTGGCCATAATTGTCAATTATTCTGTGTTTGGAATTCCCTATGTGAATTCCTATATAGCCACCCAACAAAGTATTCCACACCTGGGTCCTAGCAGCAGTACACAGACTCAGGAAAACTTGGGTAATTTTGTGGGTCCCCCACAAACCACAGTCAATGCCATGCTGGTTTCCAAAGGTGACCTTCCCTTTTTTAAATTTTACTTAATTTTATTTGTTTTGTTTTGAGGTAAGGTCTCAGGCAGTTCAGGCTGGCCTTGAACTCACTCTCAGCCAGGCTGGATTCAAACTCTTCATGATCCTCTTCCCTCAGCCTCACAAATGCTGGGATTATAGGTGTGTACCACTACATTTAGCCAAAAGGTTCTTCCTAAAATTAGCTTTCTATTAGTCAGCATTCCTTCTGTCTGAAAGTGTTAGTATATAGAAAGGGTGAAAGAGTTTCAGGCAGAAGAAGAAAGAGAATGCAAAAAATAAAAAGAAATACAAGGAAAGAAAGAAACTAAGGATAGAAGGAGAATGGGAGAGAAGGAGTGAAAGAAGGAAGTTAATTATCTAAATATAGGGCCCACGGAATTTAACAATACACTTCAATTTATGTTTAGAATCTCAAGGTTGGATGCAAGGATGTGGGGTGTGTGTGTGTGTGTGTGTGTGTGTGTGTGTGTGTGTGTGTGTATGTGTGTGATAAATATACTGGCGGTGTGCTCACCATTATGACTAACATTTTTTTGATGGAAAAATCCTCTTACTTTTCTGACCTCCATCTCTCTGTTTCCCCCAATTCCTCCTTCCCCAGTAGGTGTGGAGTCGGATTTGACTAGAATTCCAGAACTGGCTCTCTCATTTGAAATCTGATCCTGCTTTTTTGGACCTCAAAATTTACACTAAGTACTGCACAGGGACTGGAGACCCTTGAATCTAGGTCAGAACGCACAGCCTGCATTGATTTTGCAATAGCAATGCTTCTCCCGTGGCAGCCCAGAGAATGCCACACTGCTCTCAGAAGAGAAGGAAAATGAGGAGAAGAGGGTGGGCAAGGAAGGGAAGGAGACAGAAGGAGACAGAACGGAGAGAGGAGAGGAAGGACAAGAGAAGGCAAGAAAGAGAATGGACAGAGTGAAGCAGGAGGGAAGAGGTGCAGGAGGGAGACAAGGAAAAGGTATAGGTGAGAGGTGGCAAGAGACAAGAGGACGCAGCGTCTTTCAGGACCCGGGCAATGGTGAAGAGACAGGCGAGACATTCTCACTGCAACCAGCTGAAAGCTGTGCTATCAAAGTGATGCTATTTCCTTTGGTGATTTTAACTATAAAGCAAAACATCCCAAAGCTTTGTGCCATGGCTGTTTACTTTCTTTCTTTCTTTCTTTCTTTCTTTCTTTCTTTCTTTCTTTCTTTCTTTCTTTCTTTCTTTCTTTCTTCTCTCTTTGTTTCTGTTAAAGCATATGCACATTTGCAGAGCCTTGCCTGTTTTGGTAAATGCCTCTGCAGCTTCCCATGAACAGCTACTGTCCCTTCCTTACTGGGACATTCAGGAAGAAGTGCCCCAGCCCTGCAGGCTCAGCTATCTCTCCCCAGCTCCCAGACAAACCAGTCAAGACTCTCAGGACGCATCCCCAACCCTTGACTCACGGTTGCACTGAGCACACGCTCACATGTGACCAGCCCTGTAAATTCCTCTTTCTCCCTCTGTATACCTGACGTAAAGGACAGGATATAACTCTAAGAGCAGGTAAAGAATGATTTTACATCTTCCTGTTTGGATGTCCCTCTCTCATGTTTCTCAGAGATATCCCAGAGGTGTGAAAATGAAATAAGATAATAATCTGATCAAGACTTGACAAATATTTGTTTCCTCTTTTCTTCTCTCACCCCTCCTTACTATTAAGAATCAAAGATAGTTACAACTGGAAAGAACCACAGAGAACATACAAAATATCACCATCCATTTATACACTCAGAAATGAGCCCCAGAGAGAGGAAACTTTGGCCACAGCCATCCAGATACAGGGCAACCCTTTGACCCAGTTCACTGTTCCCACTCCTACACCAAAGAACTCCACAAACATACTGATCAATTGGCTTCAGAGGTGAGATACTTCATAGTGCTAACTTAGGGCACAGTTGGCTAAGAATTCAAAGAACTTGATGCTGTCTTCAGTCAACTTGTGGATGACCTGGATGACCAGCTAAGAATGAGAACACACTGTAGAAAAAGTCTGATGGACTTGCATTTTCCATCAACATTGCTTCCCTGCATTCTGAGAATTAACTTATTTTTATAGAGTCTGGAGAACTGGGGAGAAAAAAAGCCCTCTTAGATTCAAATATGACAATGAGTGATATTTTAAGGAACTCTTGCCTTGGAATGATTGCGACAGACTTTGCACAACAGAACTGGGGACAGTGGATGCAAAACAATGTGGATTTTGCAACCACCTTTGATGTCCTCTGTGGGAGCAGGGGCATGGGAAAGGCTGGGGTTTCCCTTCCCTCTCCATTTTCTCCTCCATGGCCCCAGGTATGCAGGGAAGGACTAAATCACCTTGTGGAGGGTCTCACTCTGCAAATCCCACCCCCGCAACAACTTATTTTTTTCCCTTTTCTGGATACCATTAAGCAGACTTGAGAGATGCTGGAAAACTCTGGGCTCATTGTTCTCCTGACTGTATCTGGAGTCCTGGATGGCAATGCCAAGGTTTGGACACATTAGAGCTAGGACTAGCTCACCTCTTAGACTTCTTAGAGCTCTGATTTTAAGAGAAGCACTACCACCATCACTGCAAAGTAGCTGTAAATACTCTTTATTGATGTCATAGATGACAATGCTCTTGCAAACTGTTAGGCACTGTGCACTGTCATCTATGGTGAAGTAATTAATTCTCACAACTACCCTGTGAGAATTCCTCCAAAGCAGAAAATTAATGGTTTAAAATGAAAGTAAGATGATGTGTCCAAGGGCACACATGGGAGAAGTGATACTTTGGAAAGTTGAATACCAAATTTCATATTCTCTCCAGAAAGTATCATTTCCTACTTCAAAATGGGGTACATTCATAAATGCCAAGTGCTTTCTGGAGTGATGGTATGCAGTTAAAAGATAAGTTCCCCAGCCACAGGAGCCTTCTGGGGCTAGGTCTGTAGAAGCCAGGGAGCATCCATCTATCTCATAAATGCACGGTGAACTGTGATGAACCAAGTACCACTATCACCATCCTCCTCGATTTAAGAGAAGTATGCCTCCTGCATGTACCACCTATAAGGCTGAATATTCCAGCACTTCAGTGCTGAAAGAGCAAATCTTCCTGTCAACTTTTTGTTCAGATAGCAATCCTGAGCCCAGAAAAAAACACTGCCTTTTCCAGGTCATCCTGTATCCTATTACCAACTCTGTGGTGAGGCTAGGGAAAGAGGGTGTCTTTCCACCATGCATCCCTCACTCCCCCCAGGAATTCAGAGACTCATGGATTTCTGCAGCCCAAAGGCTGAGCTGGCCAAATGTCAGAAGATGGAGAAGAGAGAAATATGCAGACATTTTACAGCACACAAGTTGCTACTCAAACTCCGAACCTCAGTGTTTCCATGATTATAAATGGACCGGGTGAGCAAGCCTAGGATGCCTTACCTCTGTTCTGCAGGGCTGTAGGTCTCTCCTCTCTGGCAGCTGCTCAGGGTGACAGGGTCAAAGTTGTCGAAGGAGCGGAGGGCCACCCCCGAGATGGCAACCAGCGGCGAACTGAAGCTCACACGTACCGCCTGGCTGTGGTAGAAGGGCTGGCTGAGGTCATGGACCACAGGGATAATCAGGGGATTGTTCCTGCAGCTCAGGACATGGAGGCCTGTCAGGGGAGACAGAGGGCCGAGGGGCCAGGCTCATTACTCAAGGCCAGTCACGCCCTCCCCAATGGGCCCTTCCTGAAGCCCCCAGACCCTTTCATGTCACTGCACAAAAGCACCATTGGGCGACCAGTGGGGATTTTGAGTTTGATTGAAAGTTTCTTTGTCTCCTGTTTTTCCTTGGTTCCAAATCTTTGCAATCCTGCTGCCTCCCTGCCCCCTAAGATTTCCCCTCACCTAGTGCCCACAGCCCATTTCCCTCTCTCCAGGCCACCCCTCAGGCAAGCATCCTTAGCCCTTAGCTCCCTCCCACATCGCCAGAGGGCAAGATGGTCTGAGCTACTAGTTTTCAGGCTGCCTGCCTGGATGGTCACAAAGGTGATGGAATCAATTCAAAGCAACAGGCCCCATTCAGGGTATGAACAAAACAAAACAAAAAAAACCTTGCTATTGGTAATCTGAAAACTTGGAGCAGGACTGAGGGGTAAGAACCTGTACAACCCATACACAGAGCAGAGGACAGACACAGGAGCTCCAGAGGATCACAGCACAAAATAGGCACCCAGACCAAACCTGCCTCACTTAAGAGTCCACAAATCAGACTGGGGATATAGTTCAGCAGCAGCCCAGTGCCTGCATGGCAAGCACAAGGTCATGAGTTCAATCACCAGTACCAAAAAAAAAAAAAAAAAAAAAAAAAGAAGAAGAAGAAGAAGAAAGAAAGAGAGTTCTCAAGTCTTGCTTAGCAAGGAGAATGACAGCCGGTCAGGGAAAAAATAATACAGAAAGGGGAAGAGAAAAGGGAATGAGAAGATTGGATGGGGTTGGCCAAACAGAAGTTGCCTTTGGTGGATTTGGTGCAAATGCTGGGTTAGCATCTTCCTATTGACCAAAGCTCTAGAAAACTGGCTAAAATTCCAACTCCACATCTAAAAAATGGTATGATCTCAGTAAGAAGTCTGACAGCCTTGCTATGGTATGAGAATTCTCCTTTGTAGATGTGGGAAGCCACAGGCCCAGCACGGGCCTTTCTCTATTCCTGGGAATGCTGGGACGCTGAGGCAGGAAAGCGTGGTGGGGAGGAACAAGGAGGGGCAGAAGCCTCAGATGTTAGGAGTAGGATCCAGGGAGCTCCTGTGCACTTAGACTTCTCCTCATTCCTTGAGAAGCCTTTCCTCAGAGCCCTCTGCAATGCTGGGATAACTAAGAAAATATTTATTTCTCACTTAGGGAAATTTCCCAGGAATCCAGAAAACTCTAGAGAGGCTTTCTTTCGCTTCCTTATTAATATGTTCCCCCTTGCCTTTAAAACTGACTAAATAAATAAACATAAAGACAAAACAAAACAAAAATCCTTCTTGCTCCCCTGGCTTCAATCTGACCCCACCATGACCCCTCGTCTGCTTGCTTCTTACGGGTTTTTGAAATGAGCTCTCTGGGGAATGGTGTGGGCACAGCTTTGAAGTCCAGGCTCTAAGGCTGGCCCGGAATTCCAAGCACTCAGAAGGGCTACCCAGAGCTCTCCAGGGCAGACTGGAGAAGGAAGAGTGTAACAGGGATTTTGTAGTTCATGCCAGGACTCACACTGGATGTGGTCACAAGTGTGAGTCACAGTGTCAAGGGACCTCTAGCTCTGATGGTAAGTTGGGCATCACTGTTCTTGTTGTGCATAGGAAGACAGCAAGACACTGAGAAGTTGAGAAAACTCCTCAAAAGGTGGAGGAGTGATAGATATGAAATTCAAACTTTGGCAGTCAACTCTGGGGCTGGGTTATTCCTAATACCATGCCATAAGTGGGTATGCAAGGGGTGGTACCAGTGACAATTCTGTCCCTTGCTCTCTCATTCAGCTCTGTGATGAGGCTGTGTCTCAGCAGGGAGAACATGATTCTTCACCTGCTTCCCCACTCCTGAGCCCAGTACAAAACTTTCTTTTTCTTCTTCCACAAAGATTCTCTGGAAGCTGTGCTGGGTATACGGTCACCACACTGGCCAGACACCTCTGGCTAGAGGGTTATGATTCTGAAACCTGGCTACTCAGGTTCCGTCTGGATATATAACCATATGTTTAATGAGAAAAAACAGAATTTCAAAGGGTAAAGAAACAAGAGAGACAGAAGGGAAAGGAAGAAGACATTCTAAACTGATGCTCACAACCACCCACTGCAGAAGCGTGGAAGCAGGTACCACGAATAAGCCAAGACAAAAGAACATGCTTGCCTAGGTCGTGGCTCTGTTCTTTGGTGTCCAGCAGCTGCACACTGATAGTCTCTTGCTTTTGGTCCCCATAATACGTCCCATCAGTCACTAGGTGGACAATGACAGCTGTAGCAACCACTGGCTGAGAGAAAAATGCCTGAAATGGAGAAGACATGGAGAGTCATTCGGTTACTCAGTCATGTGACAGGGAAGCAGCTATGCTGTGGAAGATGTGAGGAGAATCTTCTCTATTTCTGAAACTTGGACAGAAAAGGGCTGAAATCTAACAGTGAGGGATGCAGCCCTAGAAGTTAAAAATGTTGCTCCAGGCTTAGCTGTGCTCCTACCTGACTGCATGACACTGGGAGCATGGCCAGGCTACTCTGGACCTAACTTTCCTCATTTCTAATATTGGATTAAAGGAAAAAAAAAATTTTTGGCAGGGTTATTATGAGGTTCCAGCAAGACAATGGGAATAAAATGTCAAGAAGAGGAACTGGTATACATTCAACCTGCATGGTATTTATTATAAATTACTTTTCCACACCAACATCTGCACTAGTAACTGAAAAGGTGAAGCTGAATAAGACATGGCCCTGTCACTTCCGTAAACTATGGGCTTCAAAGTAGGTCAGTGACATATAAATCAAAATCAATACAAGCTATGAAGATTTCACACCAGCTTTGGAATATCATGTGACAGGTGTCGTACAACAAGTGGCCCGACATGTATAGGGCTGGAAAGAAGTACACAGTCAATTTACTGATCTCATGGAGATCAGTGAAGACTTCATGGAGGAAAAGAATTTTTAAGGGACTAAATAACAATAAAAGCTTCAGGCAGAAAAAAGCTAGCCAAATTCTTTGCCAGTAAAAGTATTGAGCAGTTAAGGAATTCTATTTCAAGAAGCACTTCACATACTGTTTTGTTCCTTATCCTTACAGCTAACAGGCTTAGGACATGGACAAACCATCTTGAGATGAGATCATCATGGCAGTCAGTGATTCCTGGAGCCCAGTACTGAAGTCCCACTTGGGCTTACCTGGAGCCAGAAAGTGGTCTGAGCCAGCTGGGAGTATGGGTAGCTGATGGTGCAAGGGTACCAGGCATGCTGGGAAATGCCTTCACTGAGATCAATCACCTTGGTTCGACACACCTAGAAAAAGATACAGAAAAAATAGAATAATGTTATGAGGGTGTTGAAAACTCAATTCATTTTAGCAAACCTTTACTATCCATTTGCTTTGTTCTTCATACCACAAGAGAAAGCAAGGATAAGTAGACAAGACTCTGCTTTGGTAGCTCACATTCTAATGTGGAAGTGATACTCAATGCTGTTAAGGAAGGAATCGATCACATTCTGGCAGTAGACACGACAAAGACATGCCTAGAGCAACAAATCCTGGAGGGGATGGTTTTGAACTGGGCATTTAAGGCATTGTAGACTAACAAAGAGAAGCAAAGGCTGAGGGGAAGTCAAATCCCCAAAGCGTTTAGTTCTGATGAATTGTATGGTACTGATAGAGCTTAGATAATGTTGGGGGGTGGGAAAGTTGAGGGATTTGATCTCATGTCTTGAACACCAAGAAGACCATTTTGGAACAAATATTTAAATTCTACTCAGAGCTATACTAATGATGAGAACTGAAGAGTATGATCATTTGCCTCCCCATCACCAAAGAAAATTAATTCTTTTACTAAACACACACACACACACACACACACACACACACACACACACACACAGAGATTACTTCTGATATGTCTATCTATCTAGACACAGATGTAGACTTGAGAATGAACATTCTTGATCTTTAGAAATAAATTTTTTCTCTTTAACTTTCTTTTCTTGCTTTTGTTTGCTTTGGATATTTGAGTATTTGGTTAGTTTGTTTGGAAATAGATTGTCTCAGTGAGTTTTTCATAGATTATGAGATCCTAGGATTCTCTAGGTCCACTTGACCTTTTAGGCAAATAGATTGTGACCTAGAGAATTAAATAGGGCAAACCAATACTAGAGGACCTAAGTAGATTCACATACAGAAATGATACCAAAGTATTGGAGAAGCAATGTGTAAGTGAGATATTCAACTGATAGAATTACAAGGGCAATTATGGTTTGACTATTATCTTTTTTTGAAGTCCTGTAAGGTCTCCAGTGTAGGTTTTATTGGTCTTGTTCTGTACTGTTTTGATCAATTCTATTATACCTGATGATATAGGCAACTTTTAAAAAAAATAGCAAGAGGCACAATGGTAACCACTTTAGATCACCTGATATCCTATTTTTACATCATGTACTATGCCCATCCTTTTGTTCTAACCAACTCTGTTTTGTTTAGCCATGTTAGGTTTTATTCTCTCCAAAAAATAATAAGAATTGTGGGAGTAAAAAAACCCAATAAGTGTAATTGTTATTAAAAAGAGAGGAAAGGAAGATGGTCTAAGGGATATAACTGCATGTATGTTTGAATATGTAGGATGGAAATCCATATTACTGAACTTTTATTGGATCATTGATCAGCATTGTGTGCAATCTCATTGTATGAATGTTCACTTTACATGCTTTAATTTTATAATTTGAACAACTAACTCAAAGATGACAATATGTACCCTATTAACTAGTGATATCTTACTGTATTTTTTTTCTTGAAATTCTGTATTATTTGTACCCTTTTACTGCTTTGTTTTTTTAAATTTCTTTTCTTTTTTTTCTCTTTAAATAATAAAAAAATAAAAATAAAATAAAAAGAATTACAAGGACAAAAGAATGTTAAGATCACTTAACTGATTTATATATAAAAATGATACTACAGCATGGAACCCTGGGATAGCATGAGCTTCAGCTAGTCAAGTTGGGAGACCTACTGTTTATTCAAAGACATCAATGTAGAGATATGGCAAAGATTTGGAATTGAGTGAAAAAAGAAATAAAGAATAAGTGGAAAAGTTCATAGTAATGTAATTTGCAAAAACTGCACAAAGGAAAACTATATATTGCCCAGGGATTCATGTGGAATACCTTAGAAGGATGCATATCACATTCATGGTGGCAGTTGCCACTGCATATCAAGGAAGGGGAATGGTACTAGACACTGGGAACAATTGAGATTTCAGTTTATCTGCTGCATTTGTGTTTTACAAAAAAAGTCTAGATATAATTTAATAAAATTTGCCTTGTTTGCCAAGTGATGATAATGAGTGGATTTGTTATATAATACATATACTTTATAAACATATATGCTTTAGTTAACATTACTTTATGTAATTTTATGAATGTAAAAAATTTTTTTTCTCCAACTCAGGCCTGATGTTGCATATGTATTAGTCACAGGCACTGGAAGAATAAGGCAGGAGGACCACATGAACCTAAGTGTTTGAAGCCAACTTGGGTAATACAGTAAGACTAATCTCTTCAAAGAAACAAATCCCAAGTGTAAATTATTGGCTTATACATTCATTAAGTATATATGTAAAATCATCGGTTCCCCTAAAAATGCTTTTTCCTGTACAGTAGGCTGCAAGGAATTGGACTAGGTCTGAACCTTCTGTAACAGCCGTACGATTTTGCTTTTGGGATCACCAACATGCTGAGTATACATTCTTTACATTCACTCCTCTCTGTATCCCTTCCTGGCAGGATTCTGGCTCCTCAGTACTCTCAGATGACACCAAGTGACAATTTTCTTTACAACTGTGTGGTACTATTTAACGTCCATCTAAAACATTGCTTCCTCATGTACTACAATTGCAAGCACCAGTGCTTCCATTTTTCAATAAACTATTTTTGGAGTAATTTTATATTTATTGCAAAGCTGAGGGAAAATACAGAAAGCCCCATTTACCCTTCACCCAATTTCCCTTCATTTTAAACATGTTCATCAACTCATTTTTGATACCTCCAAGAGAGGAAGATAAACTGCTTAGCCAATTGTGGAACATGACCAAATGTTCCTAGAGAGAGTTCTGTAGTAGTGAGAAGCCTTGGATTAAGCAGAAATGGTTCTGGCTTCTGTGACTTTGAAGCGTAATTATGAATAAGTTGGATCTCAATTCATCATGCATGTTTGAATGTTCTATTTGTCGGAGATTGTCAAGGTATCTTCCACAGGTCATAGGGTCCATGGAGATGTTGGTTGAGGATGTGAAACAGTATCTGTAGTTTCCACTCCACTGTTTCAATCAGAACATCTCTACTCCTCCATTTATTTATTGAGCTTCCTTATAGTACTTCATTTTAGATTAGAGCTCCTTTGCTAAGTCAAAAGTAAAACTCATTAATTTCAAAGTTGTCCTCATGCTGATTGTGGGAAATGGTAGATCCTGGGGATGCAATATTATAGCAGAGGCTATTTATTAAAGAGCATTAAAGATGCCAAGAATCAGCTATCCCATTGTCCAGGAATTGGGCGCAGATTCAGTCGTTCAACTCACTAGAAGCCTAATACTGAGGAGGCTGAGGATAAAAACACAGCCGCTTTAATGGATTGGAAGACGTTTTCAAGTTTATTTATTTTTCTAAAAAACAACTGGGACTGGGCTTTGGCAGAGCTGCCAGTGGATTCTGTTACACTTTACAACAGTGCTAGACTTTGCATAAACTATCTATGGCATTTGAAATCCAGGCCAGCAATTCGACATGTATCATTTTGGAATGCTTTCCTCTTGTGTTCTTAGCTGCTGGTCTCCCAGCAGACCATGGCGGAGTACATCTCTGAGCGCAGGCTGGGGGTCTTATCTCTGCATCGAAAGCATTCATGGTCAGAGAATTCGCCAACATGAACAAAGCCTTCTTATTGCTTAAATACGATTGCCTCTTATCTAGTCGACTCTATCAGCACTAGACAGAGCTTTAAAGGAACATGCTGCTGTTGTTTTATTCTTCTGTTTTTCAATTTGGTTGTGTGTTTATTTCAGGCTGCCTGCAATTCTGACCCGGGACAGTCAAAGCAGATCAGAGAAGAATGAACAAATGCATCTGAACCTTTGCCCAAAGCCCTAGCAGATCTTAATGTCACCTGTGTTCCTGGGGAGGTGAAGGAAGACAGGGTGGTGGGGAGAAATGCTCACCAGCCTCCTGCTACTACAGGCAGTGCATAAATCTACTCATTCAAAAGCCATTTATTGTGGGGCTGTGACATGCCAGGCTCCAAAGTCCTGGGAAAACAAGAGCCTCTGAAGCCACAAGGTTGATTATTGAGGTACAGGTGTGACCCCATGGTGACTGATTCTATAGGGATGCTTTCTTTTTATATACTCACTTTTTTGTACCTTCCAAAAAAGGGAAAAATCCAACTCTGCAAAGCATTATTGAGCCATAAATACTGTACTATATATGTTGTGGGGAAGGGCACAGGAGAGTCACATGGCACCTTAATGTGCTCTCATGCTCTCCTTGCTATCACCCTGAACTCCTCTTTTTCTCCTTTTTTCCTCTCTACTCCTCTGATGTCTCTAATGTAACTCATTCCAGAGACTGCTGTCTCTCCCAACCTCCTTTCCGTCCTAATCTGCACATCTCTCAAATCTCCTTCCTCTTCTCACCCTTACCCCAGCATCTGTAAGAACTAAGGGACAAGTGAATGCCTTCCTCCTTGACTTTGAAGAATCCTTTTAGGCTTCCATCATTCTAAGTGACATTTGTACTTATTTCAAGTAAAACCATGGGAATTGAAGACCTGGATTAATTCTGCTTGTCTCACTTATTAAATAATTTCTCTGACCTCAGATTCCAACATGTGAAATGTGGTCCTTTACTGAATGATTACCAAGGACCTCAGGAGTTTAGACACACCCACAATAATAATGTCCGTCCCAGGGCTCACAGTCACAGGATCACCAAATCCTCACAATTACACTGTACGTTTTAAGTTCCCTATTTCTGCTGAGGAGATGAGGCACTTTCTTGGTCCCTTTCTCTGCTTCCACATGTGTCTCAATCACAAAGCATCACTATTGTGCCCCAGGTTTGGCTGAATCTGTGGCTTCCTTGGATCGAGAAGAGGGTATTGGTTCCCACCCTCTTTGCCTCCAATCTCTTCACATTTACTCCCATCTGCCAAGTGAAAAAGAATCATTTCATTGCCCTGTTACTCCTCACCCACAACTACCTGTGTCCACAGCAGAGCAAGTTTCCTAGACGTAACTCACAAAGAC